TCAAATATAGCTCACATATTTGTTTCGTACGTGTAATCAATAACGCTTTGTTTGATAACAGATTCAGTCAATTCAATTGTGCTACTGCCACATTAACACTGCTGACGATGACTAATGTGTCAACCGGTTTCGTCGACCGTTTTCAATAATGCTCGAAAACGAAAAATCGAGTGGGAGTTTCTAGGTAAATCAGCTGTAAACGATTAGTATGACCTGTTTTTATCTGTGCATTTTCATGTAGGCACTATATTTCAACATCGATGGCAGTTCACTGTTTATAAGAATGATTTGTTTATTTGACAAAGTATCGCCATCATTATGTCCCGCCTTCACATCTCCTTATATAGAATTTTGGAGGCACACAAAATGCATTTATCAATTTTAGATTTATTGGATCCCAAGTAATTAAATACAATATTTTATTATTCACTTGGGTTTTTATTACAAGGTACTTGGATGTAATATTGTAATGGCAGAACCGATGCTTTCATCAGTTAAATCGTTTCTTCTTCTATACTTGATGAATCATTCTTGTGTTAATGTAAAGGGTTAATGTTATGTTGCCTAGCATAAAATTTACTTATGACGGAGATAAGTATTATTATTAGACAACACCCTATAAATCGAGATATTCTGTAGTTTCTTGAATACATCTTCAATATTCTCGGATACCGTATATGCATGCATTCGCATGTATCCGCTAATATGTATATAGCATCTCTATTCACCAACTTAATTTGTACTCAGTCTGGCATACCACTAATTATAAAATGATAAATATAGCGAGTCTCCATATTATTTGAAATTACAGTTTATTTACATATGTATTTATTTCATTATTGTTTTCAATAATTATATTCAGATTGTAGTTGTTTTCAGGCGATCATTCCCAAGACAACTTAGACATAAGTGAGGAAACAACCTTGAGTAAAAACAATACATGGGTTACGTTTGTGTAGATATTTAATATTACACCTTTCTGTTGTCTGTAACAGTACTTCTAAATAACGTAAATGTAATTTCTTGTTAAAGTATTAAACAATTATAGAATAATTCGCCTTTAAGAGAGTTTCCCTGTGATGCCGAACAAAATCAGTTTCAATAAGGATATGATATGAACATATGCAAATAGTTCAAATCCCTCAGTAAAAGTATTTAAAAAATGTACATAGTGCATGGTTTATATCGCTTTTAACCTTGTAATATTACCACGATATATCCGACAGAATGCGCTACAACAACGCCATTTTATCACTACAACGAATCCACACTACAATCCCACTTCAGACGTTTCGCCACGATACTTGGTTAGTTATTCAGCCACGTACTGGTTGTTATCAGTTATTAAATTGCTTTTATTTATAAACGGAATTACATAAGCTATGCTCTTTCTTATTTTAAATAATTGTTATCCTTATATACTTATGCTTTGTCTAGGTAGAACATTGATATATACTGTGTGTTCAGCAACAACTTATTATATTGGTGATTAATCACAATAAAATGCATTGTTATAAAATATCATTTGTTGCTCAATTCTATTCAACATCCATGTGTACTAGTAAACACTGATATATAAAACTTCCAATAGAAATGATGGTAATTCGGGAATGAACTAAAATATATCGAAAGTCACACTTACAATCTACACGCCTTCACAGAACCACACATACAATCTAAACAAATGTACAGAAAGTCACACAACATACAATCTACACACAGGTACAGAAAGTCACACATACAATCTACACACATGTACAGAAAGTCACACATACAATCTACACACATGTCCGGAAAGTCACACATACAGTCTACACAGAAAACTGAATCCAAACTTAAAGAGGCGAGTAATTCACTAAATGTAGATGACCTTTCTGCCTTTGAACTGCAACATTGATATGACAGAATACGTTTGGTAGCACATTGTCTGCTGCATCATTCCATTTAACAGGATTAATGTAATAAGTAAATATATATATATATATATATATATATATATATATATATATATATATGACAAGTTTCACAAAAATGAACTAATCACATACCCTGAGGTGTTCCTTGAGGGCAGCGATAGCAAACCTAACGTACATACTGAGTGAACAAATCTCGTTTTGTTGAATATTGCATACGTTGTTTGTTCGTCTGTCGTTCTAAAACAAAAAGGAAAGGCGATCAGGCTGGCAGAATATGAGAAATACTATTTCGTTAAATATCTAGTCAGATGACGCATTTTAACGTATTATAGGTATTGCTACAATGTAGAATTACAAGTAAAATCCTCATGTACCCGTGTATTAATAAAACATTATCACAGTTCCCATAACCTTTAAATTTGTGGCCGTTGTTATACTTGCCCTAAAAATAGTCTGTGTCTGTGAGGACAATAAAGGTAACGTTATGTGATAGCATTGTTATATTGTTCAAATGATCTGTTAAGGAATCGCAGTAAACACTCACTATAATTTTATAATTTGAGAAGTAATACTACTTACGTAATGAAACAGTCCTTGAAGTGATACATGGAATCAATAAATTAATGAATCAATAGATATCAGCCCCTGTTATATAATATTGTTTGTTTTGTAAGATCTGTATCTGACCGCTTGAGATAAAACACTGAAGACTGTACGTGTGTGATCTACCCAACAAAGACAAGGTAATTTTACTGAGATCAAATTTCGTGAATAAAATCCTCCATAATAGTCAACGTGACTACTGTGATTGATATAATCACGCAGCGTCGTATTTACAAAAGCTATAACCATATTCGATATCTGATTATCTGATGACTGTAGTCTACCTTTCCTTCTCTAAAAGATTTAGAGAACAGTGTTTGCACGATTAACTTGGATAGTTTACTTTTGTTATTATTAGGGAATTTTCATACGCTGTTTCGGTTAAACTTCCTCTAATGTCGTGAGTTGATATCTTCCTTATACCATGTAACGCTTTATTCAAACTGAAGATGTACATGAGAAAGACGACGATTATAATATCGCAATAATTATCCGATTTTTTTCTGACATAAAGTTGAATATCTGACAACTTATACATGCTGCTTACATTGGTTTCCTCAATACACGAATGTCTTATGGAGCGTATCAAATGAACTTCTCACCCAAACATAAGTATATATCTCACAAAATGACCTATGGAATTTCCTCATTTCTATCTGTATAATTGTTGACGATGATCTTTACTTTACAGTTTTTTCCTGTCTTCTTTGTCTATAGTTTCGTAAGAGCTTTTTTCCAGAAATATTTTTAAACGTGAATTGCTTTGACTTTTAAGACACATTTTGTATCACATCCTAAAAGGTGATAATTTATAGACAAAATTAAAGAGACAAGTGGTAGATTTCTTGTAAAATGTAAAGCAGACAGAGAATCCAGATCCTCCGACCAGTACACCGACCTCCAGCGTGTGACTGTAATCGAGTATCAGAAAAGAAACATCTAGCGCAATTTAGTAACTAAGAAACATGCATGTACAGCAAATGGAGGCTTACCTGGGTATAAAGTGATATATTAGGTCAGTCACTTACCGACATACATCATAAAGGAAACGTACAGTCTAATAGACAAACATGCGGCGAAATCAAATGTATTCATTTATGTCAGCATGACCCTGTTCAGAGCCTGCAACTCGGCACTCCCCGGTTTAAAAACGAGAGATTAATTTCGGCCGAGCTGGAAAAACTCTGGAAAACCTAGGCGTTTATTGAAACGAAATTTTTAAAATGACAAAAGCTTAACAAGAAATTAAGAAAAGAATAAAAACATCAAAAACACAAATATCTTAAGTTAGGATGGTAGAACTAAGGGTGGGTTATCTAAATCTCAAAGAACCAAACCAAAGTGTTTACCAAAGTTTGAGTAAACGTTCAGGATAACTTCCTCTTAAGTGCCCTACTTGTGGTCATTTCTCATTGGTCAATTGTCCAGCCAACATTCAAAGTGACCAATGCGGACACAACAGGGATGGTCATTCCTCAATGATCAGCTCGACAAATGAGTAAAGTCGTAATCATATGCAGATCATGCCTGATACATAAGTGATCTTACATGTTAGACATAAATCTCTAAGCTGATTGATAAAACACCTAAAGAAATGCATGGCAAATATCCCATCGCTATTGCTCCATCCATAGTAATATTGATAACATCTGAATAATAAACAATATTCAGGGTACAGCTTACATAAAAATCTCATGAAAAAAAACATCATGAAAAACTGCTTGCAAAGGATGATGAAGTGTCGATAGCTTTTGCAAGTTACTAGCGACACTCTTTCAGGATTTAATAGTATTCCTACACCGGCAAGAACAAGTCGAGACAGGCGCAGACTATTAGTCCTTGTAGCGGATGGCCGGTAGATGAGGTGTTCCATTCAGCAACCGCCCTCAATGCCTCCACATTTGCATGGTTTCTGTCAGGGTTGTCTCCCTTAGCTTTTGGTTCTGACGAGAACCTATCCCACAAGGCAGCGGAAGACTGTGCAAGGCAGGGGTGTCTATGTCCCTGAGATATAACACGTATATCCGCATACCATAAATACAATCATTATAAATAACATATTCTACATGCAATACATATATGACAAATCTAAGTGACGGAAGAAGATGTAACCGAGGGAAGTTCTCGTATTTGACAAAGTGAGATTTTTAAAATGTAATTATCTATTCAGTTTTTATCATATTAAAATATATATATTCTGTCTTGACACGTTGCCATTTTCACATTTTTATTTCAAGTCCGACATCATTTTTCTAAATATTTTTTTCGCGCTTCATTCATTAAATATGTATTTCTGATCAACTATGGTCATTCTCCCCAATACCTGTTACAAGTAGCCCGTTAAGTATTTACCTTTGTGTTTAAACAGTAAACTGTACACGTGGTCTAATTTGTGTAAACCGGTTCTGATTTCTTTGATAGGGTTGTCGGTAAGTCTGTATAGTTCGTTAATACTTCCTGGTGTACAGTATAGTAACTGTCATGTCGACTGGAATAAGTTTACCAAACTCACAGCTCTTACTTCTTATGCTGTTAACAGTACCGGCATCAAGATCAGAAAGTAAGTGTTCATTCAATTCCATTCTTTCTGATAGTTAAAGAAGTACATTTCTCTATTTCTTATAAAATTCATATCACAGATATTTGAGTACAAATAACGTTGGACACTGCGTTGAATAAACTCAAATGTCATAACGTGACTTCCTTATCTTATATGTTAGTGTCATTTATACATGTATATATATATATGATAGTAAATGCTCTTTTACTTCAAATGAAATTTGATGAAACGAGTCTTTGAAGTTTCATTTTGGGAACCTTGGCGACCAATACTTTAAATTTCATAAGATTTCATATGAAATGAAAACAAAGTTAAGATACTTTTCATCACATAAGTCAGGAACATTATTACATTTTGACAGGTTCAAAGTCAAACTGTGGCATCCTACCCAGAGTTGTCGTTCCTTTCACTCACTCACGCTTCTGTTTGCGCTAAAAGTCAAGATTCTTGGCAACATCTGAAATAAATCTTGCTGTTGAAATCATTGCATTGTCATCATTAAATAGTATGTTTGCATGTGTTTAAATTTCTTTTTCCAAAAATTTTCTTCGGTATATATACATGCGCCATTTAGTAATAGGGCTTGACAATAACGTATACTTACCATAAATCATGAAAATTAAACACGAAGAAGATGAAATTAATATGTAAATATACCTTCTATATGTATGTATGTATGTATGTATGTATGTATGTATGTATGTATGTATGTATGTATGTATGTATGTATGTATGTATGTATGTATGTATGTATGTATAAAAATGTTACCTATCTCGGTCAATTTTAGATTCTTATCAAATAGCTTATCTTAATATAGCAGCGTTTGTTCAGCAATATAGGCTCCTAATCAAGAATGGACCAATCAACTGAAAAACAGAAAAAATAGATAAACTCCAATAATTCCCTAAATCATACTTTTTACAGTAACAGCCCTTATATGAAAATATTGAAATCATTTTATACAAAGCAACTTTATCAGATGTTGTTTGTGACATTTGTATCAAAAGAAATATGATAAAAGCAAATGGAAATCTTCAGCAAAGACTTACCATGTATGATAATATTATGAATTATTGGCTTTCTGTTCGATAAGAATTAATTAAAATGTTCATTTAATCAATAAAATCAATTTCAATGTTAATTTCAAACAACGTAAATATAATTTCAAACAACGTAAATATAGAAGTCTGTCTGACAGGGGAAATGTTATATTTTTTGTTTGAAATACTGATAATATACAAATGTGTGTATATATATGTGATATAGTTGTCTATACACTAGTATACTATACAGAAAAAGAAAGATACATTTGAATATGATTAAACAAATATTATTTATAATATACTCTTTTTAATCCATTCCCTTAAACCTAATCTTCTAACGTTCCCTCTGTTATAAAGGCTGTGGTCAGGCGATAGAATGCAGACGCTTTGTTATAATTTTGTTTCATCATCGTACAATGGCTTGGTGCTGGAATGGTTATAACTGATTGTGACATTTTATTTTATTTGATGGTGTAGTTACTGCGCACATTAATCCATGTGTAGTGGAAATGTGTTTCCCTGTACCATGTGTTGTCAGTATTAAACACAAAGTAAACAAGGAAGTTTTTAAATTGACATTCACCACCATTTTGAGTTTTTGATATGAATAATGAAGGGAAAATGAATGATTGTCTTCCTCGAGTGGATTTTAAAATTGGACTTTGTAGTGAATACATCAATTCATTTACACATACAGTTACAAAAATATTAGCGCAAGTGAAAGTAGTATTTTTAAAAAAAATGTTATTATTATTACAAGCTAACTGATAGTAAGTTTTCATATAACATGGTATCTTTGATGTCTAACTCTCATGCGTTTTCCCCTGTTTGTAAAATATCGGTACAGAAGATACGTACATAATTTATACCATCTATTTAGTGATTAAGAAGCATCTCACAACATAAATAAGTGCATTTTAAAGATCACCGACAACGATGTTTTAGAGGTTTTGGTATAGATTTCATCTAGGTAGAACCTTAAATCGAGCTTTACCTCTCGTGCGAGAACAGGTGAGTATGGTTACCTGTCCACGCTTCGGTAGCGTTCGGGAATAGTTGGCACCAAAAATCTGTGACGTCAGTTCTGTGTAGTGTAGTGACTGGTGTAAACACAATGGAAGTCTCATATCATATGGTAATTCTATAATCGATCTCATTTCAGCAGTGATAATACGCTTTGTTGTGTATGGATAATATCAAACAAAATTATATATTGTTTATGTGAACTTCTTACATACAAAATTATATGGAAAATGTGAAACCTAACAGCTGAGACGAATCAAACCGATAAACTATTCGATATCTGCCCAACATGTTAATTGGAAGACACCTATCAATTTCAGCAGGTGCTGATTCCCTTTCATATCATAATATACCTGGGTGGACGCCTTGGCACCTGTACACGGGGACACCACATGGTCTCAAGACATGTTATAGAGTGAATATTGATCCATCATTAAAATACACTATTGTTAACTATTATGTATATCGGCATATGATGAGATAACATCGATTATTTCATCTCAAAATTCAGACAGAATAGTTGAATATATATTCTTCCAAAATTCACGTGTACATATTTCAGTATTATAGTTCATAATAAAAAAATTACTTATTGCAGAGACGTACAATTTCTCAATCCCTGCTCATTGGTTCCATCTTTAAAGTATACTTTATCTTCTTTGAAAATAGATATGTACAACAGTGGTTTTTGCTGTTAATACTGGACTACATGGTAGCTGTTTATTGATAAACATTTCCTTGTTCGAGGATAACAATTAACAATGACACCGAACATTGTGTGATCATGATATACAGAAATTGCATAACCTCTTGTCCATTATATGATACATGTATTTGCACGTTTATTGGCCTTCACGTGGAAGTTGTAAAGTATGCGTGTATGTGTTATAGTGTAATTTGTAAATGTCCTGCTCTGTGTTTTTCTATGTTTCTCGATCGTGACTTTTTATTCTGTATTTCTCGCACGGAAATAATATTGGATGACATGGTAGCTGTTGATTAATACTTCCTTGTTCGAGGATAACAATTGGCAAACACCGGACATCATGATCATGTTAATGTTTATTTTGATTCTCGATCGTGACTTTCGTTCTATTCTCCGCTCGTAATAGAGCAGTAGTAGGCACGGGAAGTAGAAGACACAAGGCCTATTTTTTGACACTCGTATATTTATAGATCACTCTGAAGAGCTAATTTACGATTAAACAGATGTTTAACAAGTTCTAAACAAAACACAGCATGATATAATAACAGACGCAAAGCAAAACAGTTATATACTATGTATAAACATACCGCAGCGTGCATAATGACAGCAATCTGTAAGCTGAAAGAGCAATACCTGTATGTAACACAGTATTTACTGGTAATAATGAAAGTGAAATCAACGGCAAAATAGCACAAACATCGCATCTTTGGTTTAAAATGGTGATAAAATTGTGACTTTATTATCTTTTAGCGATAAAAAAAACCTTATCAAAATGTGAGCTCGGGGGGTTCGTTCCTTTGTGTAATATTTGTACAATACAGGGTTAACTTAACTGTTCTCCAAATTAGATAATATGCTTGTTGGTGTAGTTGATAAATATTCAGGTGTCATGACATTATTCATTATTTCAAGTACTGTTTGGTAATTCTGGGAAATATCATTTTCCGTTATTGTACGTGTCAGCTGTATAGAAATTACGATCATTCTTAAACCTCAACGTCTTGTCTAATTGAAACAAGCATCATTGCTTCTTTAAAGGCATGTTAATGGTACCAGAAGTATAAGTGGTTTGTTTTTTGTGTAAGAATTGATTGCATTATTCTCTTACACACAACATTTGATTCAATAAATGACTTTGATGACAATTTTAGAGTCGTCATAGATTCATATATATTGCTAATTTAAGCGTAACAATTTCGACACACACCGCCATCCAGCTTAAGTGATATTGAAGTATCATTTATCAATGTGGTCAACTTATCTTCAAAACCCTTATATGTATGTTTTAATTTTCTGCCTGATATTTTAAATATTCTTGTATTCATTTAAATAGATGAAACAGTCAATGTTTAAAACTTTTTGAGAAATTCACAATCCAATCCAAGACCAAAATCAGCTGATAATAACCGCTGCGCTGCCATATTTCTCCGAAGCTTCCTAGATAACATTGGGTCATATAAAAGGGAAACAATAATGCATGCTTTTTAACCATTGGCACATGAGTTTATGGAATGCCAACTCTGGGTATAGATTGAAACTGCAGAGGTCAAAATCAAACAAAGACAGCCATTTTGTTGCGCCAATTCAAATTCATGACAAAATGTCCTCTTCAATATAATGGCTTTACAATCGATTTCTGTCTGGCGCCACCAATGTAAACGCTTCCGTGTATATTACTCAGGTGACATATACCCGAATTCACGGGATAACAGATAGATTAAGTAATAAACAAAGTGATAGAAAAGACGGTTTCATTTTCTTTTACAGAAAATGTCGCCTTGACAGGAACAGCGACTCAATCGGCAGACCAAGACTCTAGCTGGACGGCAGATAAAGCCATAGACGACTGCACTAGTAATAATATACCATCTGATTGTTGTGCTCACACCAAAGTGAAGGGTGCTAAAAAAGCCTGGTGGCGGGTAGATTTAGGAGAACCGAGAACAATCCAGTACATCACGATACACAACAGACGTAAGCTCCCATTAACTGATTTGATATTGATTGTTTTATTGATGATGATTGTATTATAGAACTGTAATATTAAAGTATGATTAGTGTCATTATCAAGGTAACAAGGCTTTATTCGATAACATGAATAAACATGTAGCCTTCATTACAAATACCGGACACCATTACTGGAGTGATCGTGTTTTACTCGTTTTGAACAAAATCATCTTTATTGCTTTGGACTTTCGGGTATATACTAAAAGGATAAAGAAACGCAGGGTGAACTTTAAACCAGAAATTTAGTATGATATCGGGCTTCATTTAAAATGAAATTTTGTATACTTGCAGATAAATTAAAGCTTAAAAATTTCAAAAGTCTGTATTTTGCATCTGACAATTGGTTTAGAGGTACTAACGATTAAATTGAATGGACCCATAGGATTTTGAAATTGAAATTGAAATTGAACTGAGTCGTCAATATCTAGAGTGTCCGCCGTTTGCTGTGGTCACGGCCCTTATTCTTCTGGTCATAGAGTTCATGAGAGCGTTAATCCGTCTTATGGGGATGTTGTCCCACTCTTCAATCAGAGCTCTGGTCAACTGCTCTTGAGTAACAGGGGGTGGCTGGCGCTTTCGAACCTGTCTATCCAACTGGTCCCAAAGATGCTCGATCGGGGACAAATCAGGGCTATATGGCGGCCAATCTAGTGGTTGAATGTTGTTTTTGGCCAGAACGACTTGGCAAATCCTTGCTACGTGGGGCCTAGCATTATCCTGTTGGAGGCTTAGATTATGCTGCTGTAAGAAAGGGATAACATGGGGTCGAAGAATCTCATCTCTATACTTAGCTGCTGTTAAATTGCCATCAATAACAACCAATTGTGATTTTAACCCGTGTGAGATTCCTCCCCACACCATTACTGAACCGCCCCAAAACCTATCCCTCTCTACAACGCAAGCGTCCGTAAAACGTTCGCCACGACGTCGGTAGACACGTTGACGGCCGTCAGATCGATAAAGACAGAATCGAGACTCGTCCGTGAAGAACACTTGTCTCCACTGCCTCAGTGGAAACAGTCGTGGAGCATGTGCTCTTACACCAACTTCTCGTAATCGATTCCTTACAGTTTTTTAACTTATAGGACGCCCATGATTTCCACGAACATTAAGTGCACTCTCAAGGGCAGTAAGGCGCCGATTACGCACATGAGAGACGACTATATAGCGATCCTGACGTCGTGACGTTACGCGCGGACGTCCTGACCTAAGTCGATCAGCCAATCGCCCAGTTTCCCGAAGACGTCTTAGAAGACGTTATATGGTGGAAACATTAACACCAAAGTGCCTAGCAACCTGATTTTGCAGCTGTCCTTGCATCAGCATCTGAATGGGCTGACCCCTCTGAACTTCTGTGAGTCGTGCCATTCTTAAAACGAATCAAATTCTCAATTAAATTTAGGGAATCAGTTGGTCTGTATAAAGACTAACGAAGAGTAACTTGACCAACGGTGCATGAGACCAGAACAACACGGTGCACGAGATTTTTGTTTTTTCCTTCCTCCATTTACCAGAGCTGCGCACTGTACCGTGACTAAATTTTCGATACATGACAAGGTGTAATATGACCTAATTACTCAATCCACAAAGTTTCACTTTATTTGGAGAACGCGTTTTCAAAATATCGGAATAAATATTACCCTGCGTTTCTTTATCCTTTCAGTATATATACTGTATCATTTCACAGGTAACATATAGTATACAAGTTACTTTCCATGAAGTTTTACTTTCCATGAAGGTTCCTTTTTCGATTTCAAATATAGATAACTAGAGTGATTCTGTAAGGAATAGCATATAGCTTAGCTAATGTTTCTTAACTTCTTTTTCCATTCGTGAACAAAACACATTTTATAACTGTACAGTCTATTTTAAGCTAATGGAGTGCAAAACATCCAATGAATGCAGAACTAAAACTTTTAGTTTGTTTTATAGAAAATGCAAAGGGTCGATTTGCCGGATACCAACTGTTCCTATCAAATACAACAAATTACCAGCAGGGCATTATTTGTTACAAGGATAACAGTATTGAGGTAGCAGATTTACAAATGGACCCGACACATCAATGTCCATACGTAGCGCAGTATGTAACCATTTACAACCACAGAGACGACACAAACCGACCGTCCTGGTACGATGATTATGCTGTGCTAGAATTATGTGAAGTTCAAGTCTTCGGTAGGTCAATTTATATTTTGAAATTGAATGATGATATAAGATCATTACTAATGGAAATTATAAAAAATATTGATATTGCTAGGTATTAATGAGATTAATCATTATAACGATTTTAATCTTGAAACTGATCAACAGCATAAAGTAAATTGGGAAGGGAAACATAACAACAGGAACAAGCAACCAGGAGTTCCAGAATGGTTTGAAATAAAAAAAAAATCAACATGTCTTCATGATAAATGTTACATGTCTTCATGATAACTGTTACATGTCTTCATGATAACTGTTACATTGATGATTTTGACCATGTGATTTATACATGTACAATCATAAAGGTAATAGTATAGTTAATGATGAACGTTCGACTCATAGCCACATTCTGGTCACTGATGAACGAACATCACAATTGTTTCAGAACATCAAGCATGATTGCATCAGCTGTAATTCGTATTGCTAATTGTACTAGCCAAGTTATGGATATATCATAACCTCACGAATCGGTCTTTATGATCCCGTATACGTACCATAAGATTTAAGGCAGTTGGTACCATGGCAAGTGTAACCTATCGGTTTGCTATAACGAACTCTCTAACGTTACGGAGTATATAGTAACTTTTAAACAGATGTATATTTCACAAGAAAACATGTGTTACAAATTAATTTTTACGTAGAGAGTGTACTGATGTAAACATCACAGAAACACTCTTTTATTATTTTTACTGGTACAGCAAAGGAAATACCGATATGTCAACTGAATCTAAATTCAAACTCAAATTCGATATAACAAGGGCAAAATATGAATATAAGAAATATCAATATCGAGTCTTTGGAACAAATAAAATTAGACCTGATGTTACAAGTATGCTGATAAAGAATTAGAAAAGTTTCATTCTTCTCTATGATATCTAATATAAGAACAACATGAAAATAGCAACATGTGATCTGAATCGTAAGCCAAGCTCAAATGTGAAAAAGGACAAAGCAAGAGAGGTATGAGAGAAAGATTTACATGAAGACTTCTGAAATGTCACGTTCCCATATGAGAACAAGTATTGGCTTATTCTAATGTTCTATGTGTATTTCAAGATTAGATAAGTATGTAGTACATTTTGTTCGAAGTAGTTTCCTTAACTAATTCAATAGCACTTGTATAACGAAATAGCATGAAATAACACTCGTTGAGAACACGTGCGTAAATAAAATATCTACATCATTATATGAAAGTATCACAATCTATATTTAGTGATCTGAAAATCTAATTAAATACCTTGTTCAGGATGTACTTCAGGAAAATATGGAAATGGCAATTGTGACAATACCTGTCCCCAAAAATGCTTTGGAGGAAACTGTGACGCTATCAAGGGACACTGCTTCTGTAAGTTTTAGCATTTAGATAACTTTTTTATCGTTGAAAAATTGCAACCTTAAACTTTTTTTGAGATTATGTCGCTACGCCTCATTCCCAACCTCACCCCCTCTGATACACTCACTAACAACGATAAAATACCAGCATGTGAACATAATCATAATCCAAGGACAAATGCAATAAAACTAGGACAAAATATGAACAAAAGAAATATTTACACGAGCACTACTGAAAAAATACAAGGAGGATAAGACCAGGTGTTCTGGAAGAGTAAGCGTCTTCTGCTTCATCGACGAAACCCGCCATGTAAATCTTGGCAAATCGAAGTGAGCAATGTCACGTTCTCAAATGAGAACAATGTGTACAACAACAGCATCAACAAGCAAACCAACGAGCATCAAACATGTCCGGTTTTGTGTCACATAAAGAAATCGAATATTTCTCAATAAGGTCACTATGGCGACCTGCATGTTTTGAAATCTTTTGTTACGAGTTTAGAAGTCAGATGACACATTCTTGTACGAAAATCATGATAATAGGAGCAGACTCTAGAGTATCAAATCAACTGCGGCATGTAAAAGCCATAGGTTGGAGATGCAGGAATGCTATTATCTCAAGCTCGGTGGAAAGCTGTCTGTGTTTGTTTCGTGGTAGTAAACCGCCATATGTAGAAGAGTCTGTTGTGTCCTTGATTTCCGGCCAATTGGACAATAAATCTCTTGTTTCAATATGTCTGAATAAAAATTAAATTTCTTTGCAAGGTCTTCGATACAATCAAACTGAGTGGCAAAGATCGTTCCTATAGTTATGCCAATAGTCTTTTGGAAGATCTTACCTCCAAAAAAGGATTACATAGAAACATATCTCCGTGATATTTATTAACGACATCAACCCTAATCAATGAGATGAATTAGGGAATAAATTGATTTCTGGGGTTTATTTCAAATGATATTGTATTGCTATCAAGTTTGAAAATAGTATTGTTTTATTTGATAAATATATTAGCAATAAATGCCATTTCAAATTCACTAGGTACGGAAGTCATCATTTATTTCTCATAGTTCACTTACAAACGATGATTGATTACTTGTAGATTGTTTTGCTGGTCGGTTTGGTGATGGTTGTGATCAGCATTGCTCAAATAATTGTTCCAGCGCATGCGAGAAAGATTCGGGTCACTGTTTGGGTATGTACGTCAAGATTTGTATTCTCGAATGAAGGTAAACTTTGTAATCTGAATGGTTGTTGGGTTTTAGATATTTACCCCTATTTGGCCCCATCCTTGGGGCTTTGGACTGCCACCTTACCAAAATATGTTCAGGCCACCAATTGTCCTTATTCGAACAGAAGAAAATAGATTGATGCCATTCATATATTTTACCCTTGTTTCGCTCAAGGGTGCACTAGATCAAGTTTGATTAAAGTCACATTATCCAAACATATCCGGTTGGAATCTTTAAGGTCTAATTTCATCTGAGACATGTGATGTTCAAATATAGTACTATAACGAGTTTGTAAAGACAAGTGTCGTAAAATCGAAGTAAGATTGTTGAAACAGATTGATTAGTGCCAGACTGTAAACAACAAATAAAATAAGACAAAATCACGGAAGAGAAGTAACGAGGTTTATAATGAAAATCACGGAGAAACTCATATTTTCGAATATGTAATTAGAAGTTTTTAATAAACACTTAGGATTTGCAAATATATAAAATACCTGAACGCATACATTTGTTGAGTTCCTTCCAAACTAAGTTAAGGCTGAGTTATGGTTTTCATTTTTCCGATTCATTACACTCAATACTACTCACAAACATTCTGCTTCAGGATGTATCCCTGGTAAAAGAGGCGAACTGTGTAATAACAGATGTCCGTCAACTTGTGTGACCTGTCATCAGAAGTCTGAACAATGTTTTGGTAAGAGCATAACAACACATTATGCATGTGTGTTTGTGTGTGTGTGTGAGGGTGTGTGTGTGTGTGTGTGTGTGTGTGTGTGTGTGTGTGTGTGTGTGTGTGTGTGTGTGTGTGTGTGTGTGTGTGTGTGTGTGTGTGTGTTGTTTTTCTCTCTCTTTTTTAGTAATATTATTTGAATATTTAAAAAAAAAGTTGAACACTTCACGCACATCAACTTCCAACTTTTTTTACTACAAACATAAGTATCAACATTATAATAGTTTGTACTACTGGAAAAGAGCTATATTACAAACGCAGATGTCATATTGAATTTTTGAAATGGCGAAATAAATATTGCATTCAAACCACAAAAACTTTATAATAATATGAACCGAAACTAAAAATGCTATTAAACTCTTCAACGGTTTCCTTGTCCTTTGAATCGAACACCATATTCAATTATTAGAAATAATTATGTAAGGTTCTTCTATTTGAATCACTTAAACTGTCTGAGTTTATTTTTCCTGTTTTGGTTTCATATTATTTCCACTATCATTAGCACAATAAGAATGTCTTACGGGTGATAACTGGTAACATTGATTTTTAGGAAAAGCCATAATACTTTTAAAAAATCCAAATTCAAAGTTATCTTCATTTCTGTGTGACGTAAAAATGCATAATCAATATAATTTCCCTCTTAGGATCGTTACAGTTAAGGTCTACAGATAGCAACCGCAATTAAAATCAAATGTATAATTAGTAAAAACATAAGAATGACAGTCTTCAACTTAAGGGATGAGTATGAAGGACTAAAAATTGATGAAATAATTACGTTTTATTTGAAATCATAATTCTTCCTGATATATGAGCAGACAATACAAACAAGATTAGACACATTTCACTTCACTTCTTTGTATCGTTGTCTTCCAACTGCTGGTTCCCTCCAAGTGTATTACGTCCTAGATACCGATACCATTTGCAACAAGATGCATATAGGGTGGGTAACGCTCACTTGGAAATTTTACCTTTCACTTCAACCATCCCATTAACAATCATGTTATTGCATTGTCTCCAGAAGATGAGGAATTTTAAGGCTTCAAACTAACTTTTGACAAAATATCAATAATGAAGCAGAAAAAAAGGATTATTTGAAAATCTTACCACCCTGCCCCCCTCTGCAGACCCATGGTTTACATAAAGTAATTTTTTTTCACCCAAGGATACCTGAACTAAAGCAAAATTGGTCAAAATTATTTTATGCAAAAGATTTTAATCAAAAGATTAATTCCTCAACGAATGCCTCGTATCAGATTTGGTCAATTTATTGTTAATAAGGCTGTCATAATATAGCCCCAATTTTCCTGTACTGATCAGGATATAGTGATACTTTGGCACATTTGTGTTGCAGAATGTATAATCTGATTCGAAAGTATCACCTGTCTGATATGAACTTTTTTCACTACAGAATGTGTACATGGTAAATACGGAAACCTGTGTGAACTTGATTGTTCTGAAAACTGTAAAAACAAATCATGCGGAAAGGACAGCGGTCACTGTTTAGGTAATTAATAAACATCTGATACTGTTCTGATATATTCCTAATAAGATATGACATCTTTCTAAATTATCTTTCATTATTTAGATTTCGACAGTATCTGTGGAATTGTAAAAGGTATACCTTAATGTCTAGCTGAGGTACATTTGACACTTTTTATATATATTGATGTTGCTTTCATATATTCAACTTAAAACGGTTTCTCTTATCCATGTAACACTACATGCCACGTTGGTGATATTTATTTGCATCTGAAAAATACATATTTTACAGAATGCATTCTCGGTAAAAGAGGTGACTTGTGTGACACCAGCTGTCCTATAAATTGTGTGACATGTGACCAGACTTCCCCAGAGTGTTTTGGTAATATAAAAATCAAAATTGAGTATGTGTGATCAATATATCATGTAAATAGAAATATAGAAGTTGATAGATCTTTGTTTTATTCTATTGATATCACACAGTTGTACTAATAACAATTATCATGTTGCGACATGATAAAATTAGCAACGATTGATTTGTTCAAGTATACATGAATGTTAATGTACTTCAGGATGCATTCATGGGAAGTACGGCCAAGATTGTACACTGGATTGTTTGGGTATATGCAAAAACAACGCATGTCAGCAGAGTGGAGGAGAATGTACAGGTAAATTTTATGTTCGAATAGAGTTAGCGATCCCTTTCGAAAATAGAATTAGTAAAATGCCTGATGCATTTAGCTTTAGTTGGAAAAGATGTTCAACATACAAGACTTTAACTTTTAATGAACATCGGACCTGTCACAAATCACTAAGCGAAGGCTGAAAATATCATAGACGAATAAATGGACGGGTGAATGGGTGGAGAAAAGGATGAGCTTCACATTACAATACTCTATAAATTACACTACTCTCCTTGGTTATCATCTCGTCATGGGATAAATAAAATGACATCATTTTTAAACAGGGTTTTATTTCTGTGAAACATTTGTTATAGTTGTGTAATTGTATACAACTTTACAACGTTATAGCCAAAGGTGGCTTGTCACGTTCATATTTTTCCATTTAGGCAAAATTGAAATGTGAGCCAATGTTTGATATATATCATTATAAGTATTTTTAAAATTCGGATTTCATCTATCGCCCCTATCTATCAATGAAAACTGAAAATGATTTCAAAAAAGAGGAAAAAAAACTGTTGCAAAAATGATTTTGTTACATTTATAAAAGTAAGCGTAACTGTTAAAAAGCAAAGTATGGAAAGGAAAAACAATATTGCTTGTACTGTTTTATATAAGATGATTATTTCTTGAGAAATCAGGCACTGGTATCTTGATATGCTTTAGCCTGTCCCCCGGGAAAGTATGGCTCGCTGTGTAACAAGAATTGTTCTACAAACTGCTTCGAATGCGATTTCAGCAGTGGAGCTTGTGATGGTATGTTCCTTGATTAAAGTTAATTTAGAGATGGTCAGATCGATTTTCATATAGCAATCCATTCAATTATACCCATAACACGATCTGTGATTGTTACATAACGTTATCAAACATAGTTGTTGGCATATATTTACAATCATATTATCAGTGTTGATAATACATTCAATATGTATGTTCTGATAATGTCTTATGTCAATGTATGAACATGAAATTCCCTATTTATTGCAAAGTACTTTTATATACATCGTGTTTTCATGTATATTTCAAAGTGTGTCAAAATGGATACTTTGGACAAGACTGTACCTTCCATTGTGAAACCAATTGCAAAATTTGCGAACGGAGTGACGGCAATTGCACAGGTAGGAGTGAAAATGGTAGAGCCTTCGTTGTATTGCATTTGTTATCAATTCCGTTCTTATCATGAATTGTATGTCACGATTAACAAATGATAATAGAAGCAAAATCATGGAAACTAATGATGCAATATCAGCTAAAATTATGATATTTTTATCACTGTTATTTGCTTTTCATAGAATGCGTGGATGGGTTATATGGAAGTAATTGTAGCATACCATGTGGACAATGTGACAAATGCAGAAAAGACACAGGACATTGTCTCTCAGTTTGCAACATTGGATACGAAGGGGTTGTGTGCCAGACAAGTAAGATATTGAAACATTTGGCGTAACTAGCTAGAATTGACACTAATTTCGATGGTACACATGAGAAGAGCATTGTACCTGAATTAAGATAGGTGGTATCTGCAGTCCCAAGTTTCAAGATCTTGATTTCGATCTGAAATGTTCTCTTCATGCTCTTATTGATAAATTTATGCAATAGAAAGATACTTCGTGTTTAGTAAAAAGTTCTAATTTATTTATTCAAAGATTATGCTATCTTGTATATTTATAATATAAACAAAGATATGTCCATTGGTTCTTTAAATACTAGATTCTTTGCTTATGAAAGAATTAAGTTTCCAAGTATGTTCGCTAAGTTTCCTTCACATATTGTTTTACTGAAAGGAACAATGGTACTTGAACCATCTGGCGTTAATGCAGGAACAGTTGTAGCCATCGTTGTCAGCCTATTAGTCGTAACAGCTTTAGTAGTCGTCATCCTGTATTTCATCAGACGGTATGTAGTTAATAATTATAATTGTATTTAATTGTATAATCATAGCATATAACTCAAAACAATGTTCATATTACATGTATTATGAATACTGATCGATTACAAGCAGAACGAAAAGTATCCTGAAGATTTTATTCTGGCATTGTTTTTTAGAATCATGTTACTAGTTAAATGCACATTCAACCAGGGTGGAATTAATCAATGTACGTATTAATGTCTTAACTAGCTTAGGCTGGTGTAGACTGTGTAACAATTTTTGTATTATTTATCCATATATTTATTTAAATTAGCTTTATTTACAATGAATTCTGACTGCGAATATTATGAACGTGATTTCCATCCTCAAACAAATTTCTGTCTCTTCTATTTCCATTTCTCAGAGCATTATACATAATAAACGGCCTTGAATCGAAATTCTATGGACTATCACTATCACATTAGTGACCGTGTAATGTCACAACTGATTACTGTAAAATTAAGATCTACTACTTTCATGTAATCCACAATGTCTCTTATTCGTATCGCAAAATTATACCGTCCGTTTAGCACAAAAAGAACGTTATCTATATCCCACTTAAGCGGTAATAAGGTATATCTATAAAATTCAGACGCAGACAAAAAGCATCAGAGGGTGAAAAGCATGATGATATGGGCCTACAAAGGATGGACAAAGATAAATTGAATCGCAACAATGACATTGGTAAGAGTTCGAGTAAACTCAATTAGGAACAATTACGAGGTGTCCAAATAGTATTAAGCCATCTTTATTCCGTAATTTTCATTTAAGAGTTGATATTTCACACCATCATTTAATATAAAATATCTGCATATATTTTTTTATATTGAACCGGTAATATAGGAACCACTTACTTTTATCACAGATTGGTGGTGTCTTTAACATTGGATTTAGATTGTATTTACTATATTCAATTTGGACACAAGTTCGCGTGTAAACGTACAATTTATTTCATTTTATTCAATAATTGGTATTGTATATGCCATTAGCGAATCAGAAAACGATCTTCAATACATTCAATATAATATAGAGAGAATACGTCTATTTTGTAAACTAATCGATAACTAATATTTGTGGATTTTATCAATCTTCGGAAATAAAACTAGAAAATAAAAAAACAGATTCAAAATAAGTTGAACTTCTATACAGCAAATATATTTTTCACTGTTCAAATAATAACATGAATTTACTTATTATTGGTGTCACAATTGTGTTATTCTATGTAGGTCGTAGGAGTGTTGTTAGGCTGTGATTAAATGAATTATATTTTTCCTGTGATATTTTTATTCGATTTTGAATGAAAGTTTTCATTAAATACGATGTCATATCTGTTTCTGAAGGTAATGTCGATGAAATTGTGTATACTATTGCTGAAGACGACTCCGATGTAGAACACGCTGTCCAAACTCAGACAGAACACGGAAGTGTCATTTACGCCAACACTGGTGATCAGGTTGACGATACCACTGAAATAACTTACCATACTGTTGGTATAGCCGTTGCCAATCTTAAAGCCGTTGTAAAAACCAAGATGGATAACAAGGCCAAAGCACTTGAAGATGAATACATGGTTGGTTATAGATTATTTAAAACTACATATTTTTGTTAAGATATTTATTCATCAACATATAAGAGTTCCAATTGCTTTACATTGGTTTACTTTAACATGTTTTTAAATACATCTGATACCTGATGCAATAACATTGTGTTATATTTCATTTTTTGCAGGCGTTACCATCGGGGAATCTCCACGCTCATAACGTTGGGAAGAAAACTGAAAATAAAGGAAAGAACAGATACAAGACTACATTTCCATGTAAGATTTTTATACTGAAATGTTGGGAAAACTTTTTATATGTCAGTAATTGTAATGTTATTAAGTATAAATCAATCAGTAGATATATATATGCCTCAGTATTACATAAGATAAAGTGTATATGCATTTTGTGTAATTGACATTAATTCTTGCTTTGACATGTATTCCTCTGATAGCGGCACGGTTAAGAATATACAGATGAACTTGTTGTTCTAAAAATATGGAGCATCTAGACTTCTTCATCTTCTAGATTTAAGGATTTCTTTATATCACTTTGGATTTTCCTCATCTTCCAGTCTTGTTTGAGGGATTTCTATCTATCACTTTGGATTATTTTCGTCATCTTCTAATCTAGATTTAAGGATTTCTTTTGATCCCTTTGGATTTTCCTCATCTTCCAGTCTAGAATTAGGGATTTCTTTCTATCACTTTGGATTTTCCGCATTTGCAAATCTAGATTTAGGTTTTTTTGTCTCACTTTGGATTTTTCTCAGTCGCCAAATATGCTACAAAGTTGAGGAACTAAGAATCACTGACCAGTCTTGGATGGACGGAATACTTGTATGATGCCGTTTAGTTATTCATTGATCAGTTCTACTTTATATAACTCTAAATTAGTATTTAAATGAGCTATTCACTGGTGTACCTTTTGTACAGTCTTTATAGACATCGATCTTAAGACATTTTATATATAATTGGTAAAATTATATCACTAATTCATTTATCTCTCTCGATTGGTGTTACAGATGATCACTCTCGAGTGGTTCTTGAAAAAGTGGACGACGATGAACATTCTGACTACATTAATGCAAACTACATTCATGTTTGTATAAACACTTTATTCACTCAGCAAATTAAGAGACTGTATCAACAATTACATCAATATACTCCAACTAAATGTATCATAACTGACCATGTGAATGATTAAATATCTTGTTTACTGGAGAATAAACCTGAATTATTTTCATAAAAAACAACATAAGAATAAATAATAAAATATACAACAGACAGAACATCTAACTTTAGCTTTACGTTTATTGAATTTCAGAGTGTCATTTCACCAGCACAGTATATTGCAACTCAAGGTAAAATGTAATATGGACACGATGTGCATCATACAAGATCAGTTCATTTCTTGTGTACGACTATTTGATCTATGTTACGTTCACGTTATGAATACCCTGCTCTATCCTGACACGGTGGTACTTGCTTGTAGTTTTTCATTCAAACATGTTATATTCCAAGATTAAAGGATATTTGAGAATCACGCTACCTAACGAGTATTACCCAACATTTGATGCTTTCTTTGAAGACGAATTCGATATAGTTACTTGCGGAGCATGTATTATACTGTAAGTAACTTGGACAAATTAACTAAAATGGAGTAATTGGACGTTTCAGTTATGGTTTTGTGGTCTTTTTTTTAAAACGAATGTTATTTATATGAATAATGAATACATTTTTATATGATGAACACGCCTGTTATAATACGATTTTAATCACTCTTCCATTTATTTTTCTGCTCGCCTCCTTTGTGATACTTCAGTCACAACCATTTCTTTTTGAGTCATAGTATAGTCCAAATAGAATGAATGCAACCTTTCATTACGTCGTTTGAAGGTCCACTCGAGAAGACTGTAGACGATTTTTGGCGGATGATCTGGCAACAAGAATCTAGCAAAATTGTTATGTTGACAAATCTTATCGAAGGGTCGAAGGTAATTGATATGGCCATGCGATCAGGAAAGTGTTGCTCCTATCTAAGTGTAATGTTATCTGGAGTAATTTATGACCGTTATCATATCGTGTTAAAGTCATTACTTTACAATCTAGAATTAAATATGATCGACTAAAAAGGCAATAATGATGCATTAGCTTTGTTTTCCGTTAAATTTGTATCTCGATTTCGTTATTCATTGTTGAAATACACGTAATGTAAATTACGATTCCTGCTAATGTCTATTTTCAATTTTGATAATCATAGAAGAAATGTGCGAAATACTGGCCTGATGAGGGAGAACCATTGACGACCAAACATTTCAGTGTTGTACTAGACCGAGAAAGAGTCTATGCGTTCTATGCGATCAGGGACATCAACGTAACAGAAAAAAAGGCAAGACAAGTTTCTTCAAAATTCGAATTATCTGCATTCCCGGTTGTACTTGCTATTATTATTTATAGGTACTTACTTCATTTCAAACAAAATACGCATTTCCTAATACGACTGTCCAGCCCATCCCACAGATGCTCAAAGGCAGACATGTCGGGGTCATATGGGTGCTATTCAATAGGTTGAACGTTGTTTGTCGTGAGAAAATCACGACAGATTCTGGCGACATGTGGTCGATTATTGTCTTGCTGAAAATTGTTACGACGTCCGAGAAGTGGAAGGACATGTGGTTGAAGGATCTGGTCTCTGTATCGAACGGCATTGAGGTTTGGACTAAGGACCACTAAGGCGGATTTTCTGCGTCGGCGAAACACTCATCGTGTCTGCGATATACCCTTTTCTTCCGTCTGAGCGATACAGGCTGTATCTAAACTCGTCTGTGAACATCACACACCTCCACCGACACATCACTAACCTATTTGAGCCATGTCTGCATATCCAGTGAAGACGCACTTGCTGCCTCCGCGGTTTTAGAGGAGGCCCGACATAAGGTCGGCGCGCAATGATATTTGCACAAATGCGGTTCATGACAGTTTGAACATCAAAGGGTCTGCCAAAAGTACCTTAGGTATGCGATGCAATCTCTACAGCAGTCTTGAGTCTATTGCGCAAGTGCGACAATCGAATCGTTCTGTCTTGTTGTGCGGTTACACGTGTACGACCGTTGAGATAATCGGAAACTAACTCAGTAGCTTGGAAATGTATATAGAGACAGTGAATTGTGTATATATATATAGATATATGTGTGTGACTGTCTGATAAAACTTTATAAAATGGAAATAAATGAAAGTTCTTCTTTCCAAATATATATATATATATATAAATGTTCACTTAATTTGACCTGGCGATACTGTGGTACATTTATATGTTGTTTATGTATGCGAACTCCAGCTTGTAAGGTATTACTAGTTTCTCCAATGTAAAATTCCTTGAAGCCCCGGTATGTTATCACGTATATAACATTTTTTGAATAACATGACATATTACAAGTCACACTGAACTCCTTCCTTCCAAAATAATATGATTTTCCTTCCAGCATATAGTCGAATGTACAGCGTGGATTTTGACACTTTGTGACTTTTTATTCCTGTTGTTCTTTATACTTTGATTTGCACAAGATCCGCTTTAAACTTTCTGGTTGTCTCTTGCTGTTAATACATTTTGCATCGGCAAATATATTTTTTATTTGTTCATCCTGTTTTAGTATTTAAATTATTTATTGTTCGACCTTAGTTTCTGTTCCTAAGATTATGTGTTGATACAAACGGAATAATTAGTGAATCATCATTTTCTCTTTTTCTTGGTTGTAAAAATTCTGTCCTGTTTAGTTCTTTGGTTTTTTAATTCCGTATTCTATAATACCAGGTGGATAATGTTGAAATTTTAAAAATGTTTTGAGTTCGTCGAGGCGTTCCTTTCTGATCTGTTGTTCGCTGACGATGGTAACGATCCTTCGTGCTAAGTTATACGGGATTGCACGTTTTGTGTGTCCCGGATGGCATATATATATTTTATAAACCATAGGTTTACACCATAAATCAAGTTCTAGCGCACAGTTTCATATATGTTTATTTTTGTAAAATGTTTCCTCTTGTCACCTGTAGCAGGTGTCACACTTATATATAAAGACGTATCACTTAATACCGGTAAAATTGTAATAATAAGTGTTTCTTATTTAAAACGTTATGAATCTAAATATTCATATCTTCTATTACCCATGGTTACGTTCATCTTACCATCACCATTTAATTTCGTTGTTATGTAACAGAGGTCATTTTTAATCTCAATGCCTCCGCAAGGAATCGAACCCGGGACCCCTGGCTTACTAATCTCACACTCAACCAATCGAGCTAAAGAGAAGTTCTCTCTAGCCGAGGGGTATATTGCGGCCAGTATTTTACCAGGTTACAGTGATATCATCTCTGCTTTCATATGTGATTATCTTTTTTCCAGACATATTCAGTGCGACAAGTTCAGCACTTCCATTTTACCACATGGCCTGACCATGGAATTCCAGATTCAAACGAACTAGTCGTTTTTCATCGGCGTGTGATGCAACAGAACACAGGGAAAGGGAAGATGGTAGTTCACTGCAGGTTACTTAATATATTTTGATATGGTTAAAAATTCTTGAAGGTTTCCGATGATTGATGATATTGATCAGAAATATGTTGCCATACTCTGCTGGTTGTCGTTATACGTATGTCAAATATTGATTCATTTTAAAGAGTGGCACTGTTCAGAATATAAACATGTACTTTGACGTTTTTTTTAAAAGTATTAATGAAATTATAATGAATTTCGAGTGCATCGCCGTAATCTAATCCTAACATTTTTTCGACCAATCTGGTTTTTTCTTCAGTCGCCTCCTAGGCTTCAACCTTGTATGCCCTTCGCATTACTGATAAGCGGCATAAGGACAAAATTATTGCAGTATGATGAAGTTTATTTTATTGCATAGCTATACCGTGTCCATTTGGGAGGGAAACAAAATAATTTATTTTATTTACTGAGATTAGCTGTATCACAGAACCTTGATACATTGATAGTACGTATCACAAGGAAGGTCATTTCAAAAGCACATAAACTTTTCACGATCTTAGATGGATGGCAATCATATAGACATTATTTCGGGTTTTAACTGGTGTTGCGATAGCCAAAGATAAACCATTATAATCATAATCGATGGTGATTATGTTGACTTATTATCATTCTAGTGCTGGTATTGGAAGAACTGGAACGTTCATCGCTCTTGATGCTTTGTTAAATTACGGAAGAGAATTCGGAACTATTGACGTCATGGAGTACATTGTAACAATGAGGAAGGACAGGATCAACATGGTTCAAACAAGTGTACGTAGAATAATTTGATGAATTTGCTTTCAAGATGCATTTTGACATCTTTCGTTACATTAACTGAAGTAACGTGAGGGTTATGTTAATGATAAAAAGCCTACCCATATTTGTAAAGCAAGTGTGTCTGCATAAAATGTAAATCCAATTTCAGATTGGTAAAGAAATCTTGTTTTAAACTTTCCTGATGTATTTCGTAGTATAAGATATTCATGTAAAACGGCGCTAGCTTTTCATTTGTTTAATCTTTTAAAAAAGTATCATACAGCTTTCATACCGGTGTTTCCAGGATCTAACGTTAGACGTTTTCATTGTGATTTCTCTTAACGGACTTAATTGACTCATTACGAATTATTGCAAATTAAACAAATGCAATTATATTTTGATTTTGCTGTTTCCTTTTTCTGCTTTTGTTAAAAATGATAGGCTTATTGTTTTAATAAGAACAAGGTATCAAGGTGTTTTTTTAATTTTTGAATAGCAGGTACACTCTACTTTGAATTTGAGAAATCCCTGTATCTCTATTTCACTTTTAATGTATTATCAAATGGTGTCAGTCTATTTAGAACGATATTGGTCTTATTTAACACGAACTCGCTCTTTATTAAGTCATTAAAGAATATTTCACTATCCGAATGAAAAGTTGTTTAAATAACAAAGCTATGAAAGATTTAGCTGTTTAGAAAAATATCAATAAGATCGAATTGCTGTTATTTACAGAGCCAGTATATTGCCCTTCATCACATCCTGACCGAAGCCTTTGACATGCCGGATACACTCATATCTCGGTTGAAGTACCATACAGCATTGGACAGTATGCGAAGTGATACAGCAGAGAACCAAACAAAGATAAGGAGGGAGTACCAGGTAAAAGTCTCGTTATTCATTGATGTTTTTTACAGGTATATGGAACATGAAATTTTGTGTTGATACAATTATGATTAGGTGTCTATTCAAAACTAGTCGATAAATGTATGTCTATTACACTGTCCAAGTTTTTCATCAAGTTTAATTTTAGACGATCGATATCGTAGTAAATTTATCTTATCTTTATGGCTTTGGTTTCTTTGATTGCGTTTTCATCTCTTAAAAGATTATGATATACCTTCATTAGTAGATAGTTAATGTATGTTTCCAATAGAAGAACGGTGATTTCTAACATCGCGTCATCTTCGAAGTAAATGAGTACCATTTGGTTAGCTTAGTGTTGTCTGTTATCACTCTGTCAAATGCGAGGAAAAGTAATGATCTGACCCGAATTCAAAACCGAAACAACTGTGGTCACTAACGATCGGCCTCTTTCAACTCTACTTCATTGTTCAGGTTTCTTCTTCAGCCCAACGTGTATATATTCAGTTAAATATCTGACGACCAAAACTATATTGGCATCTAGGAACTGTGAGCCGTAATAAAAAGTCATGATTTGCTGACATACCTAGCCAACAACAATATGACCAGTTTAGTGTCATTCGTAATCACTGACTCTAACATATATATACATATAGTAAAACTTATATAGAAGTTCAAGTCTGCCATTTTCGTTAAATAGTACCTTTCTTCCAGCGTTCCTGGTAAAGCAAAACGTCAAAAATTGCATGACACTACAATAATCTGTTTGTGGTTTTGAGTCAGAATATAAAATGATAAGGAATTATTGTTAGAAGATGGTCCTTTATTATTTATCTGAAGTTAACACAAGTTATGAAGCCAACCTACGATGCACGTGACTACCAGACAGCCATGTTACCTGTAAACAGGCAGAAGAACAGAAACTCGGATGTCCTAGCAGGTAAACTGTCCATTAGCTTTTGATAAATGATAACACTGCTTTTGAACACGGAAAAGTATGTAAAGTGACGTTAATTTAAATAACCAGCTAATAACTAAGCTAGTGATGAATTATTTTTCAGTTGATAGATTTAGAGCCTACCTGACTACATCGACCAGAAATAGAACAGATTACATCAACGCAGTGAGAGTCCCTGTAAATATCCTTTATTGTTTGGTATCATTATCTTTCATTATCCATTATCACAAGTTATGTGTGAAAACAAGCCAAACGTTTTACTACATAATATATATTGCATACAATAACTAAACAAACGAATTCGAGAGTAAGGGAATGTGTCTCAGAAGATTTGTGATTTCTACAACCACTGAATTAACAACAGAACTATCTTTAAAAGTCGCAACGGTATAGTCTACATTTGTTAAATAAAAACCCATCCCATAACCTGTTTAAGATACCATTCTATTGATAAATTTCTTTCTCTCTATTTCTTTTTTTTATCTATTTATTTCACGGGTTTTAAGCCCACTTTAACGACCCTTTGGCTGGTAATCTGTGTACCTGTCTATTTACTTCTATTGTTGATCGTTTCATTAATACAGTATATAATCATTTATCAACATTATATGATTGTTTATTTCTAGTCGTACCTGTCCAGAACTGGCTTTATAGTTACCCAGACCCCATTAGAAGACACAGTAGTCGATCTATTGACTATGTTAATTGATTACCAATGCGATACCCTCGTCATTATTGAAAAAGACCGCGTGGTAAGTGATCAATCCTTCTACAATTAAAATGTATTGATGAACATATTTCGTTTCATCTTTTTATCTTTGTGTCCAAGACAATTTTGAAAATACTTTAACTTCAATTTCAGTTTCCTGATGTTTTTTTTTTAATAAAATATTGTTCAAATTGTCATTGGAGGCTTATGCAGATTTTGCCTGTTATCTAGTCATACCTAATATGATTAAGGAACACCTCCTTCCTTTACTTTTCAAAGGACTGGTTGCCAGAGGAAGATGGCGACAAGACTATAGGAGCCTTTACACTAAAGCGTAAAGGAGGATCACCAAGGCAATCAAATACAGAGTTTATAGATGTTTCTATCTCAAATCAGGACACTTCTTATAGTGTAGGTTTTTCAATGTATTTGTATTAATCGTTAACTTTTGTTTTTAATCTTTATTATTAACTTATTATTATTTTCTATTCTTGTTTGTGTAACAAAAGCTTGATGTAAACGCAAGTTTGTGTATATTTTTGAAAAATCAGTTTAAGAACATAAATTGTAATATCTGATTGAGATGCTTGGCCTACTGGGACAGCAGAATGACTGAAACCAACTGCATATATATTGCTAGTATATGTATTAACTTACTAATGCCAGCACTCTGTCTTCATTTTTTAAGTAATGCATTAAATATATGTCAAATTATATTCAATGGTATATTATAACTTTATTTCAGGGAAGAGATGCTGAAATTCGTGTGTTCCACGTGTCTGATTGGAATAGAGAATTATCAGTGCCGCCGCATTCCCGAAGTATTCTTCTGCTTCTAGAGCTTCTTGACAGGAGAAGACAGGGAAATGCCCTGAAAACAACCGTAGTCATGTGCAGGTGTGTAACGTACTGAAACAGAGGGAAATATACTGTTTTAGCGGCGAGACGATAGATAAATACCATGACTATTATATACAATAAACCGTTATCAGATGATGCAGGTCAGTTCGATACACGTCAGTAATTCTTAAAAACAATGTCATCGAAATTGTACCAGGAAAATTAATACAGGGCGGGCAATATGTGTCAACATCACTTCGGATTTACATATTGAGAGTCACTATTTACACGTTTAATCACAATAGTCAATGACAAGTCGAGATCAGGAATTTCTCGAGTAGGTGACAAAGCTAAGTGACAGGAAGTGAACGGTTGATAAATCGAAAAAGTAAACATTTGTAAACAACATGTTATGTTCATCCATGCACACTAAAAATACGAAAAAGCTAGGTTAATTTGTGCGTTTAGCAAAAATAGTGTGTTTACAAAACGGAGCACCCACAAAGTTCAGTAAATTTATATGCACAAGATTTTTTTAACAATTCAGCAATATTAAATAAATAACTTTGCTTTTATAGTCAGGGGCGTAAGTTATGGAGACGAAATCCATAGACCCTTGGTGGCCATCAGAATCTAACCATGCAGCAGCTAAACATAAAAGGGATATTCACAATGAAATTGTACACTACAGCCTATCATTTAAGCATACGTATGATATTTGATTTGCTGACATTCTTTATAGATCAAGCTGGACGGTTTGGCCGGAAGTATTCACGCCAATTTCGCCTCTCCAAATTGACCACAAGAGAGATATTTTATGATAACGATAGTTTTAAAAGTCATTAGAATGAGTTCTTCAAATGTACAGAGCAGTCCAAAGTCTCAATGTTAGGAGGAATATGCCTTTCATTAATATATTTTCTTGCATTACTTTTCCTATAGATTGGCCTTAATTAACCATGATTTTCTTCTACTAACCTAGCTTTTTTGGGGATGAACTTGATAGAAGAATGGGCCCGATCCCCGAAAACATTCCCCCAGTTGCTCACTTAAATTTAAACAAGTTGAGAGACATATCAATATGCAATGTTAAGCTCTGAACATCATATATCATGTTCGAATCAACAATTGCCCAGAACAATTACATTCATTGTTTATCAATTCAGAGGAATTATACCTAAAATATCGACCTCTAGTATGAAGACGATTCTGTTTGAAAAGTAGCATTATGCTTAACTAAGTCACATCAGTAACATGCATCACAGTTGTTAATATGGATGAGAGTAAACATAGAGAAATTAGGTTTTTGATAACATCTACATGCTGCAAGGTCGGGCAGATGGCCGGAAAAAGTTTACATCCGATGGCAGAGAATCATGAAGGGAAGATTAATGATACATTACTCCATGCTATCACACGGAAATATTTCATTTGAAATGAAATGAAAATTAAAGTATATTACAAGGATAGAACAACACGTTAATAGCAAACTTTTCCAATGTCATCTTGGGATATAGAATAAAAAATATTGATAACATAATATGTAGGTACATGAATACACACTCATTCCCACCCCCACCCAACCCCCACGCACACACACACACACACACACACACACACACACACACACACACACACACACACACACATGTTTTTTACAGCTCATCGTGTTTTCCATTTTTTTTTAAGTTTTACGTTTTCTGGACACAGATAATTTACCATATTTTCACTATATATATACACACTATAGAAAGGATAAATGTTGACATATATTGTTATGTAACAGTATGTCTTGGTAGAATAAGGCCAGACAAAGTATTGCAAAATGTGTTCAGAGACTAATAAGACATATGCAGTATATGACCTATGTAATGCATCTTACCACTTCAGAGACGGCTGTACCCAGTGTGGACTGTTCTGCTGTATCAGTAATGCCCGTGAACAGATGAATATTGACGATGAGGTTGACATATTTCAAGTTTCTAGACAATTGCTGATAAGACGCCCAGAATTCATCATCAGCTTTGTGAGTACATGCCAGTTACCGTATTTAATTATTTAAAGACACCTGAAATTGTATTTTTATTGGAATCCTAGTGATTATATTACTCGGTCCAAGGATTTATAAGTTTTCTGCAAATTGATCTAAACTAATCAAATTTGTAGTGTTTGAATCAAATTTCCTTTTTCGTTGTAGGACCAGTATCAGTCTTGTTACAATATGATAAAAGATTACCTAGACACCATAGAAATCTATATAAACTGATCAAGGATTACCTAGACACCACAGACGTGTATATGTAAATGAACTGATCAAGGCGTACCTAGACACCACAGATGTGTATGTATATGAACTGATCAAGGATTACCTAGAAACCATGGACGTGTATATGTAAATGAACTGATCAAGACGTATCTAGACACCACAGACGTGTATATGCAAATGAACTGATCAGAGCGTGCCTAGACACCACAGACGTGTATATGCAAATGAACTGATCAGAGCGTACCTAGACACTACAGACGTGTATATGCAAATGAACTGATCAGAGCGTACCTAGACACTACAGACGTGTATATGCAAATGAACTGATCAGAGCGTACCTAGACACCACAAACGTGTATATAAAATAAACATGAACTGATCAAGAATTAAGTAGACACCACAGACATGTATACGTATATGAACTGATCAAGGCGTACCTTGATACCACACACACACACACACACACACACACACACACACACACACACACACACACACACACGTATATATATATATATAAGAACTCAACAATGATAACCTAGACAATATAAACGTGTATATGTACATGAATTGATCAAGGATTATTTAAACACCACAGACGTGTATATGTAAATGAACTGATCAAATATTATTTAAACACTACAGACATGTATATATGTATGAATTGATCAAGTATTACATATACAACACAAAAATGTAGATGCATATGAACTGATCAAGGCGTACCTAGAAACCACCACAAACGTGTGTTTGTACAGGAACTCATCAAGGATAACCTAGACAACACAGACGTGTATATGTTTATGAACTGATCAAGTATTACATATACAACACAGACATGTAGATGCATATGAACTGATCAAGGCGTACCTAGAAACCACCACAAACGTGTGTTTGTATATTAACTCATCAAAGATAATCTAGACACCACAGACGTTTATATGTTTGTGAACTGATCAAGTATTACATAGACAACACAGACGTTTAAATGTTTATGAACTGATCAAGTATTCCATAGACAACACAGACGTGTATATGTTTATGAACGGATTCCATGAAATTCCATGAAAATTATCGACTGGAGATTCTTTAATTTACATACATAACCAGAAACAATATTAAGGTATAGCTTATTTACTGTGTATAAAATTTAATGTGTTTTGTATATGTGTGCTTTTTGATATTCTTGAGTCATTGCCTTTTTTCTGTCAATAAAATGTAAGCTTGGGATTCATGCCGTGGTATTTAGATGTTTTTACTATACTTTGTTATTGTCAACTTAGTCATTTTTTTAAATTGCTCTGTTGTCAAAGGTCATAGATATAAGAAGTGTTATGTAACATCTAACAAACACAAATATGTTACAAAATTCTATAATATGTCACGAAATTTATCAAAACATTATCATTTTAATATTATCAACGTGCTTACACTATATAAATGATTCACATGTTAATTACCATCTAGCTAGTCAACAGGAAATTATTACACTTCCTTTATTTAATGTCAATTTCGATAATTGAGATGGACATATCATTTTTAATGTGTCATGTGTATTAAATTTAAACTCTTCCCACGAAAAATGTAAAAGCTGGAAGTCATTAAGTGGCTTGATCACAATAGTTATATCATGCTTAAAACAATAGAGCAATGACGTGACACCGCACTTAAGTATTTTATCACCAACATTTAAATTGTTCTTCCTTGTAAAGTATCACATATGATTATGAACGGGAGAGACATGGCCATTTGGGGAGTTGTTCGTCTTGTTTTTACCCTTTATGTGATTATTTCTCCATCAAGATTTGAAGGTAAGTCTGTGCAAATGTTTTTCCCTTTATCCATTATAATAACAATGTAGCACTAGTCAGGATTTCTACAGATTTTAGTAAACATTAGATAACACTTACAAAATATTTGTTGCATTTGATATATGAATACATAAGTTGAGTGAATGATGAATACATTAATATAAAGAAATGTCTCAAAGGAGGGGAGTAGAAAATACTCTTGTATGGACTTTTTGAAATCCGGAAAAAAATCAGCTTAACTCCAAAAGTGGGATTGAATATCGATAAAACCGTTTGTGTAAACATGGTAATAGGTTCAATGGCATTTTATTGCAGTAATTAAAGTGGAAGACAAATATTATACGATCGTTGTTAAAGGATATTACATAAGGGGTTAGTAGACCTAATATTGCGTCGATTTTATATATAAAGGGGTGATCACATACAATATGAACATTGAATATACTTCACAGCGTCTTAAATTATTTACTGAAATGAAGTTAAATATATTCAGTGATTTATCACATTTCTTTTGTATTGTATTTGATATATATATATATTTATATTTAAATATGAATTTTCAGAAAATGTCTCTGAAAACAAAACAGTGGCAACAAGCAGTAGACAAGACCCTGATAAATGGCCTCCAGAGGCAGCTGTAGACGGTAATGTCCAAAACAATGACGTAGATTTTTGCGCTCATACACGTGTTAAAAATGCAACAAAGGCCTGGTGGAGAGTTGACTTAGGACACAAAACAACGATCATCAACATCACAATATATTATAGGGGTAAGTCAATAACCTCTACGTCAGTCAAGTCACAACTTCACAATATATTATTGGGAGAGTCAGTTACCTTTTCGTCAGTTAAGTCATAACTCCACAATATATTACAAGGAGAGTCAGTTACCCTTTCGTCAGTCAAGTCATACATCCACAATATATTATAGGGAAAGTCAGTTACCTTTTCGTCAGTTAAGTCACAACTCTATACCACAACTCCTCTCTTAGAACCCTATCAACCTTTCATTTCCTCGTTCACCTCCACGACCTCAAACCACACTCTGTTCCCACTACCCTGTTTACTTTCAATAATCACCCTCTCTCTAATTTCTTATTTATTAACTGTCAATCTCGCGAATCAAGTCACGTTACTTTCTAAATCTAATCTTTTAAACAATAAACACATCACTGGACATTCTCTGATTTACACAGCTGTCACTGCTCTCTTATCAGCCAATTAGTTTGATACATCGGACACTCTAGCTGGCCTAAACGTACTTCCCCCTACTTTCAAAGATAACACTCTTTCACATACCTTCCGCCATACGTGTGATATCCGGGCACACTCTTACAGATGAATTCACACATGTACAGTTATACAAGTATCAATAGAGATGGAAATCATTTGCCGCATGCACATATTAAATAGAATTTCCTAAAGACTGAATAACGTAATAGACACATAAAGTTCAGAGGTCATAAGGGAAGTCCGTGTCCCTATCTAAGGCTTTGATTTTCGTTTAGATACATTAGACAACTCAAATTCATCGCACAGTTTGCCATCTTTAATGTCTGAAGCCCTAATCCAATTTGTAGTATTGTCTTTGAACTGCACAAAATAATGTTTCTCTAAATGTCCAGATTGATTTCTATTCCACATAACTTCCAATATTTCAATGATATTTTCACTTTCAGTGTCAGACTGAACACTTTCTCTATTTCTAACGCTAACAATATTCTCGGGTTCAACAAAAGGTGTAAGTCCATTTAAATTTGAATATTGTCCTTTCCATTACAAGCTGCTATCCTATAATTCATTGGTAATTTAATCTTAATTACCTTAAGAGATCCATACCAGTTTCTTAGACAGACCGGGTTTAGTCTCAGGTGAAGGTAACCACACCTTGTCTCCAACTTCAAAACTTATATCATGAGTCATTTGGTCATGATAAGCTTTTGGCTTTTGTTGTACATATTTAAAGTTTTGATTGACGAGAGTGAATGCTTGTTAGTCTTTCCTGATCTTTCAATGTTTTCTGTAACAAACGCTGATATTGATTCGTCTATCAGGTTCCGTAATTATGAGCAATCATCATCAGCATAAATAGGTTACATAATAGCTTACATGGTGTAGAGTAACAGAATTTCGCATATATATATATAGAAAAAACTTGGTTTGACGAGATGCGAGTAAATTTTTATTTATATATATATGGTGTAGCGTTGCAGAATAGCATAGATAGGTTACAGAATAGCTTACATTGTAAAGGGTAAAATGATAGCATAGATAGGTTACAGAATTGCTTCCATAATTTAGAGAAGGTTACAGAATAACATGAACATAATAAATAGTTTTTTACAATTTCGTTGGTAAGACTATTTTCGATAACTATTTTTGAGTAATTGGTTGTTATGGAAGAGTGATATTTAAGGGGGGTTTATCGCTTTATTTTTTCGCCTTGGCATCTTTGTAATCTGTTACTATGTGATCTTCAAATTCATTAGCAATTTTTATCTTACTAACGTATTTGTGTATTTTAGTTCAATTTGAACACAGATTTGCTGGTTACCAGATCTATGTGTCAAACTCAACTAAGAGGAGTCGAGCCAAACTCTGTTTCAAAGACACCAGCACAAGTCTTGAAGAAGTAAAGAATATTATATCACATCAATGCCAATATGTGGCCAGGTATGTGATGATTTACAACTTCAGGAATGAAGAAAAAGACCATTCATGGTATTCAAAGTCTGCTGTTTTGGAACTTTGTGAGGTCCAAGTGTTTGGTAAGTCAAATATTTTTTTATTAAATAAACATTGGTAAAATGTTTGAAATTTGCAATGAAGGTAGAATACGTTGCCTAGGATATTTTGCATCCTGATATCTACACTATGCTTCGCTATGGTAGAAATTTATGTATTTTTTTCATCCTTACAGCTATCAATGCTACACTCCGCAATCCGAAATTAGTAAAACAGCGATGTTTGTAATGACGCACTCCCCCCCCCCCCCTTTTTTTCAGGATGCCCGATAGGAAAGTATGGGAAAGGCAATTGTGAGCAGTCATGCTCTGACGATTGCTATGGGGGAAATTGCAACGCCGTTACTGGAACCTGCTTTGGTAAGTTTATTTTATATTCATATTTCATTTGCCAACTGCTTGCTTCATATTTAGTTAATGTCGTTTTTATTATTATATATGAGTACAATAGGATAAATTATTTTATGACCATCTTCAGAATCACTTTCATTCTTCAAATGTAATTTAGCCAACAACTTCAAGGGAAATAATCGAGTCGCTCATAGACGATGGCTATTAACATAGGATTACAGTCAAGTTTTGATCATGTATGTTACATAGATATTGTATTCTACAGAAAAAATAATGAAAAATAGACTGTGATCCCAGAGGAAGAAAAGCATTCTGGTATCGTTACCATATAGTTACTTAAGAATTCACTTCCGGGAGCTGTTTTACCTAATAGAGCCACAGAACTGAAAACCTGGAATGATATGTATACATAAAGGCACTGGAAAAATTTAATGCACATTGAAGCTTATGCGCGAGGAAAAATCGTCATTGATACGTCAAATGATATTTTTACTACTCAAGTATTTCCTTTGAGACACTTTGGGGCAACGCTGCTAGTTCAAAATGTCCTTATAAACAATGAAGATATTGCTTTTCGTTTGGGGAAGGAGAGTGTTAACAGAAAAAAGTCAAACCAAAATTGTGTAAGAACAAATCGATTGACTGTGGTTATTAACTTTGACTTACGGTTATTGTGAAGAGAAATGTTCAAGGTTCGAGGTAAGGCCTAGTTAGAAGGAGTACACTCTGCTCTCTATGTCTATTATATACCATTGTTACTATATCATTGTCAGGAAACGCTGGTTTCCAAACGTTATTACAGACAAAATCAATATTTTAATTATATAAGATTAGCATTTAATTTAGTATAGCTTATCAGTTCATTAATATTGAGAGAACAATATATTCTTCCATATTCCTCCACACTTGATAAAGTTTGCCTATGTAGGACAACTATATAAGAAAATTCTATCTTACATAGATTCCCACTTCTTCGATTCAATCTGCATTCAGGGAAGACAACTTTTTATCGTCGTCTTATTGTCTATAACTGTCAGCTCTCATCTGTCATCGTCATTTCAACAAACAACATTCAACCAAAATCTAAAACTTTTGGAGGTGTAGACGTTCCTAGAGGAAAAATGAAAAATAAAATGCATTGAAGAAGACTACTTCCCATGTAAAACTGTTGAAGAATTTATCTCTTGCGAGGTTTCCCGAAAGTTTGGTGAAAAGATGCGAGAAAAAGACGCAGTTTGTATATATATATTAGAGGCAAAGCCTCAGAATTTACCATATTTTGTGACCCTCGCTTGAAATTTCCTTCATTTATATAATCGCATTTAGAAGAGTCTTAAAGACTTTCTAGATGAAATGGTTCATACAACTGTTTCTTTTTTAATTACTCTCAGATAACATTTGTCTGTGTTGCTTTTCAAAACATAACAAATATATTGTGTTCGTTCCAGACTGTTACCAGGAATGTTCTGCTTACTGCACAATTTCTAAAGATTCTGGAACATGCACAGGTTTATCAACGTTAATTCACAAATATACGCATTAACAAAAATTTAATTTTCATCTCATTCTTCATGAAAAGAAAAAAAAAATCGAACGTAGGTGTCATGATCAATTTCATGCTAACAATTAGGTATAAGTATAATTTTATGTTGTTTTAGACTGTTTGCAGGGGGTATATGGTGACAGATGTAACCAAATCTGTTCTGACAACTGTGAAAACAAACAATGCGATAAGGATTCCGGGAATTGCGCAGGTTATGATTATACTTATTATGTTGATAGACACAATGTCGGGAACTAGAAATGAATGGAAATTAATTTTTAAAAAAACGTTACATGGTTTCACGATAATAATTTTATTTTATTTTGATTTATCTTAATAACTCTGTTTACGATCGTTATGAATGGACATGTTTATTTCATTAGAAATATTCAGTTTCTTTGTGTGTTTTCGAGGAAGCAACAGTCATTTGCTATACGTGTACTTATTCGAGAATAACCGTGTAAGTCTTTCTGTTGTTCCTATCTTGATCTACTTGTATTGAATTTGTATTGAGATTATGATTCTGATGACATGTTGGTATTTTCAGATTGCATTCCGAGAAAATATGGAAAATTCTGTTCTGAAGACTGCTCAAGGAATTGCAACGACACCATGTGTTACCGTGACAATGGCTTTTGTAAATGTAATTATCTAACACGCCTAATGAATTGATAAACAATCGGATACTGATTGGATTGTACACTGAACATAAATAAATTTCTTATATTTCATTTTGTATTAAGATTGATATAGCGGGACCAATGTTTTATCAATACTTTAACAATGCAACATATACAGACATTATATATGGGTTGGGATATCAGTCTTCAAGCGTATATTAATCCCGTATATTTGTTATGTGTTACATCGAATTTAACAAATCTGCCGACAGGTTTCCGGTTCCTCTCTTAGAACGTGATCACGACTCCTTTTTTGTAATATCATTGTCGCTGCTTTACGCAAGGAATTACTTAAAGGATATATACAAATTACTGTGACTTGTTTCATTATTGATGTAAACTAAATACTTGAACACTAGCATGGACTTTAGTAGGGTTCGTTGTTAGCTTATCTACTTCACGTAGATCCTATCACCAGTATTCATTCTGCATTAAAATGACATCCGTTTAAACAGGAAATATTTATCTGAAATTTTGATTAATTCCAGTTATATATTTACAATTATAAACTGTTTGCTCTCGCAATGCACCTATTTACATTTGTTGTGCTGAGTATGAGGCCTAAGATTTTGGTGTAGCATTCAGCATTCAAAACCGTCATGTAAGCGTTGAAATGACATCAAAGTAATATTAGTTTTTCGACGTTTTGAAATACTAGATGTGATGTCGTATGCTGTATGAATACTGACATTTCATTCTATAATGTGAAATTGCACATTGCTAATGGTGTTTGATTCCTCTTGCTACAGCATGCGTTCCAGGAAAGTATGGAGATGTATGTGAGCATGACTGCTCTAATAATTGTAAGGATAAAACCTGTATTCAAGAGAACGGCAACTGTTTAGGAAGGTTGTAAATTCAAGATAAACCCAATGTTATCACTTTATGTATATGACAGATGTCAGTGCGCCTTCTTTCTTATTTTGTCAATGACTTTCATGTTTAATTTCGCAAATATTAGCAGTATAAATTATCATCGTACTGCGTGTTTTTATTGAAAATAGTAAACCTGAATGAAATCTACAGCAAAACCCTACTTTAAGCAAAAATAAGTTATTTTGCTTTTACCGGTAACAATATACTTTAAATCTTCACTTTTTAACGTAGTTATATTGGAAACAAAGAAAAAGTACTTGTGAACAACACAGTGAAAAGTATTATACGGTTTTATGACGGATTGTTATGGGACTTTAAACGTTTAAAATGTTATATAGACGTTGAAATGACATTAAAATAATATAATTTGTTCGACCTTGGAATAACGTTATAAGATATTGACTGAGTAGCATTATGCTGTTTCAATGTTAATATTTCCTTCTGTCAGGCGAGATGTATACTGACATCACAAACGTTTCAATGTTTAAAGAATTCACACAAGTATCGGCAATAATTTTGATGGTCAATCATGGACTTAGAAACATGTTTATATCATGCTAATTTATTTATAAAATTGTTACAGCATGCGTTCCAGGGAAACATGGAGATGTATGCGAGAATGACTGCTCTTATAATTGTAAGGACAAAACCTGTATACAGGAGAACGGCAACTGTGTTGGTAAGTAATAAATTCAAGCTAAATCCCATGTTATCAAATTCTGCCTAATGCTTTTCTACTAACCAAAGCATATCAGAGATTACAAGAAAATTCGTGTAAAAATGTTCATGCATGAACAGATGACAGTTCATCTACTTTCTTTATATTGTCAACGACGTTGATGATTTTTTCGCAAATATCTTCAATATTACTCGTCATTGTACTACGCTTTTTGTAGAAAAGAGTGAAAAAATACAGAATGTAGTATTTATATTGCATTTATCGATTGAAATATGTCTATTATAAAACGGTGTTATATCAAAAACAATGAAAATACACCTGTCAACACCACGGTGCACAGTATTCGTATAGATAAAACAAAGGAAACGTATCATTTTGATCTTCAAATTAGTTCAGTAGATTACTAATGCTTAAGAGGTTTCAAATTAGTTCAGTAGATTATTAATGCTTAAGAGGTTTCAAATTAGTTCAGTAGATTACTAATGCTTAAGAGGTTTCAAATTAGTTCAGTAGATTACTAATGCTTAAGAGGTTTCAAATTAGTTCAGTAGATTACTAATGCTTAAGAGGTTTCAAATTAGTTCAGTAGATTACTAATGCTTAAGAGGTTTCAAATTAGTTCAGTAGATTACTAATGCTTAAGAGGTTGATATGATTGAAAGATTTCTGACATTGCTAGCGTTTCCAGTAGGAATATTGATGTAGTGAAAATTAAAATGTTACTTTGGTAATTGTGTATTTGCTCTTTGATTCTATTTCAGGATGTGTTCGTGGAAAACAAGGTTTACAATGTACTAAGAATTGTTCAATTAACTGTACAGAATGTAAGCAAGACGACGGAATATGCACTGGTAAAATCATGCCTTCCACAATCGTTTGCAGAGAAAAGTTGTTTTCTCTTTTAAAAAGGGGTTTTCATTGACTAAAATAAAGTTTCAACTATAAATATGACGAGCTACTTATGGTGAAGTATTACATAATCAATTAATTATCATGAATTTTACAATACCCATATTTCATAACATAATCACATCATGCTGTATTTGTTATACATTGATACCAAATTCTTCAATGTGATAATACGTTTTTGATTCGTCACAAAAATATCTAGATATCAGGAATCTGAAACATTGTAGATAAGTAATGTAAACATGATATTTCCATTGATGACAAAAGAAAGGTTTTATTTTTATATTATTCTTCAAAAATCACCAACCCTAGAATATATTCAACCCCACATTTGATTAGTATCATGTTACAGTAAGATGCCTTGTTCAAAATATTGAAAGTTACTGTATACAGAGCTTATTCATTTATTTACATTACCAACTCACACTGCAAAAGATAAGATTTTGCACCATCCATAATTTAGAAAAGAGATAATTCATCCTATACTGTATCCTCCAAAACTGTTGTATTTAATTTTGATTAAATATTATAACGATAACATAATGTCCACTTTAAAACGAATTGTCATATATTGTATAAAAGGGAGAACATTTGTCTAGATTGTCAAATTAGCATTATGAGGCAAACAAAAAACAAAAAACAAAACAAAAAACAAAAACAAAAACAAAAAAACAGGGAATTATACCCCTTTCAAATGCATAACACATAGACTTTAATGTAGATAGAGACTTAGGTACCAGTATGTATATAAATAATATCTGATATTTATGTTTACTAAAAAGTTCAAGTGAAATGATGCTAGGGTTCCGTCTGGATTTTAATTTTTTTTTTTTTTCGATAATATTTAGTTTTCCTCATTAACCTCATAAGTTTCAAAATTTAGACCGCCAACATTACTAACGTGGTCTAAGAAGACGAAACAGCTGTATGATGCAGTTTGATTATATGGCGGTATTTTTTTTTTATAAATTTGATATAATTCCGATTGTGCTTTGGACATGTACACCGAGTATCCTGTCGAAAAATTAATCTATGATAGTTATAATAACGTTAAAAAACGTTTGGGTTTTTTCAGAATGTGTTCCTGGAAAACACGGGATTATCTGTGAGCTGGAGTGCTCTGAAAATTGCCACAACGCCATATGTTATAAAACAACGGGCCTTTGTCGAGGTCGGTGGATTTTACTGTTTAGAGATACCATTTGTAATGAGAGAAAGGAAAAGTCTTTTGGATCTTTGATATTTGATTGTTTCTTCTTAGGTGTGTTAAAGTAGTCAAGCCGTTTGTGTTTTATTGCTTATTGATTTGTGTCGTTCGAATATATTTATTTCACCTTTGATATATATTGTCAGGGACTTATAATATAGAGCGAAATGATACTAGAACAACTGAAGAATACCCTAGCGTCAGCTTTCTAGAATGTTTGCCGAGACGTGAAGTCTTCGAAGACCCTTCTCAACAGCATTTAGCTCATCCTATCTATTTGTGCCATTACAGTAGTATATTGCGGTCTTTGCACTGACCAGGCCTGACCAGAGTAATTAATTACCGAAACAAAATTATTGATAGTAACTTAAAGGGGTGTTTTGCAAAACTTAAATGAATCAATCGGAAAATATTCACAGTTTTTACGGTTATTTAATTAAAGATTAAATGAGATAATTTTCTTTATATAAGGTGGTTTTCATTTGTCAAAAACTTAAACATTCGTTTTTGTTGATAAATATCAAAAGTTAACAGAAATTATTTGTCACAAATGTTAGCACAGTATATTTGGAGAAAAAAAATATACCGCAAGACTGCCTTTTTTAAAATAAAAGATCGATGCCAGATTTTTACGCGTAATATGATGGACCGTAATGGTGATTTTTTTTGTTTTAATATCTAGACTGTAAGGACGGGCATTTTGGTTTCAACTGCACTCGCCGATGCAGAGCAAATTGCAAAATATGCAATAGACAAGATGGTAACTGTACAGGTAATATGGTAATAGCCCTTTCGTAATAACTCATAGTAAGGCAATTTTATTTTTCTTCAAATATTGCTCCCTACGTATGATTTTTCCAAGGGGAAATAAAAGTCCTTAATTAAGTCACCTGGAATTGAATTAATTAAATAATGATTCGTATTTAACAATATCATTCTCTGTGTAAATAATCCTGGAAACAATCATATGTGTACCGTTTGATTGTCTTATTCCCTTTTTTCTCTCTTTTTTCAATCGAAATTTGAGTGAAAGGGAATTAAATATTGCATAGTATTTGTAAAGCAACATAAAGCTTTTGGATTAGACAGATATATTTCCATCAAAACACAGAATAAGTCACGAAAAATTCAAAAATGTTTTGATATCTTAACTGAATTTATATTCAAATAGAGTGTGTAAAAGGTTCGTATGGTGGAAATTGTAGCCAGCCATGTGTCAATTGTGAGGTTTGTGCAAAGGAAACAAGAGAGTGTCTCACTGCCTGCATATCCGGATTCGAGGGGAAATTCTGTCAAACGAGTAAGATGTTTTATGTGACATTGTATTGAACATGTTTAACACAAAAATGGGTTTTCCTATCAGTAAGATCTGATGCAATCTATTCTTGTTGACTCAGTACAATTAAGTTATGATTTTATGTCTTTGCTAATTTCTGCAGTCACCACGTACTGATATCATGAAAGTTATTGAACACTAAACAGCAATAAACAATCATACTCTAATGCTGTTTTACTTTGAAGATTCAAAGGATGGTACCGGCGTGGCAGTAGGTGTTGTTGTTGGACTAGGTGTGGTGGCTATTGTAATCATACTGGTTATTATCTGGAGGTAAAAACGTAATTTTCTTTATTCACAGACAATGTATTTAGGTACTCGTGACAGTATCTAGTCCATGTGAAGTCGGACGCTCATGCTGATGCTCATTTATTTGTCTTGTGGTTCCGCCTATTTTCTCATTTGGGAATATGTCATCGAATCGAGCAATATCTACATTGCGCGTATCGTCAATGAAGCAAAAGACGCTAATGTTTTCGGAACATTTAGTCTTCTTCTCCTTTCACTCTTTAATGAGTCCCCGTGTTAATCTTTCTTCCCTTCATATTTTGCCCTAGTTTCATTGTAGGTGAATTTGAATCGAGATTTAGTTGACATTTTGGTAGTTCTTTGATGTTACTGTAGTACCTGTATCACATAACTGCAGGTACCCTGTTAAGACTCATTACAATGCACCAGTTATGAAGATATATAGGTTCTTCAATCGTAATCTCCCAAGCTGCAAGAGAATGGGATTGGTTGTAGCGTTTTGAACTGTGGCATGAAGCTGACAAGTAAATCATAGTTTCATTGTATTCATTATCACTTTAAAAATCAACTATGGTTTAGCATTGACTTTAATGTGTTCATTGTAAAACAATAAAGATGATGAAAGATAGTTTATCATATAACACTATCTTTTTTTGGCACTGCTTAAGTCATTAGAAACATAAGACTTGGTATTTATACAGCCAGTCCACTTTCTTTTCCCTTTATTTCAGCTTTGTCTCAAGCCATTCACTTTGAGAAAGATGTGGCCAAGACATATATATTTTAACAATGTTTTCAAATAAATACATGTTATTGTGAATTATAGATACAAACTGAGATCCACGAAGGAAGATTCGATAGATGACCCCAGAGGACAAGAGCTGTCTCAGTATCGAACATCACCCCGAGACAATGGTGATTATCTAATTATTTCATCAATTTTTCATGTGTTCGTTTTGAAATCCGCTTGGTGGCTATGACATGTCTTTATTCTGTTAATGTCAGATGAAAACGTTACCGAACCCTTAACGGACTCCGAAAATGTTTACATCAACGTTGTGGACCCAGGAGTTATAGGACAAGTTGACTGCAATGTCAATCCTGTTGGTATAGCCATTAATGACCTAAAGTCAGTAGTGAACACTAAAATGCTTAACCAAGCGAAGGCCTTTGAAGATGAATACAAAGTAAGTACCAAGTAATTGATCCTTCTCTTCCATATAAATTTGTATGTGTTGGGGTCGTTTTTATCGACTTCAGCTTTGTCCTCTGTAATACCTAAATAGCAACAGCCGAATAAGGAAATAGATGTAAGGTTCATGTTTATTAAACATGTCGATAACGTGTGGTACATCTTTACTCATTATGTAGTATAAAGCTAAACTTGTGTCCGTTTGGTAGAATAATAAATATTGTTATTTTGTTAGATTTTTTAACATCCTTCTTTAATGCTATTTTGCAATGTAGAAAACATACTAGGAATAACAATGGCTGGTATAGTATGCTATTAAACTATTCGTACTTATAATGTAGCGTTAAAACATTGCTATGCTAATTTTAAGCAAGCCACTTAGCGTAAAAACTTAAAAGAATAACTACGCATTTATATGCGTTGTTCATGATTATACATTGTATGTCATACACAGTCCCTGCCATCAGGAGATTTACATGAACATAAATTCGCAGTGCTTACCGAGAACAAACACAAGAACCGATACAAGGCCATATTTCCATGTAAGTAAACTTAACAAACTGTCGTTTTGTCAAATATTTACATTTGCATGCCAATGAAATGAAAATGCGCTAGTAATGAAAATATCAGATGAGCACAATATGATTTTTACTTGAAAAAAAGACATTTATAAGGCCAAAAATGCCACTCCAATGTTCCACTGTCATTGACCTTCACATTTCTGTGGGGAAAAGATTCTGCTAATACTAAATGATTAAGATAACCAAAAATGAAAAATTCATATATGTGTGTGTGTGTGTGTGTGTGTGTGTGTGTGTGTGTGTGTGTGTGTGTGTGTGTGTGTGTGTGTGTGTGTGTGTGTGTGTGTTTGTGTGTGTGTGTGTGTGTGTGTGTTTGTGTGTGTGTGTGTGTGTGTGTGTGTGTGTGTGTGTGTGTGTGTGTGTGTGTGTGTGTGTGTGTGTGTGTGTGTGTGTGTGTGTGTGTGTGTGTGTGTGTGTGTGTGTGTGTGTGTGTGTGTGTGTGTGTGTGTGTGTGTGTGTGTGTGTGTGTGTGTGTGTGTGTGTGTGTGTGTGTGTGTGTGTGTGTGTGTGTGTGTGTGTGTGTGTGTGTGTGTGTGTGTGTGTGTGTGTGTGTGTGTGTGTGTGTGTGTGTGTGTGTGTGTGTGTGTGTGTGTGTGTGTGTGTGTGTGTGTGTGTGTGTGTGTGTGTGTGTGTGTGTGTGTGTGTGTGTGTGTGTGTGTGTGTGTCATCAAGCCATTAATAATTCAACATACCTTTTATGTATATGTATCCCCCTGTCATTGATATTTCTTTCGCCCTCGCTTTTGATTTCATTTACATGTGTCATCATGTAATTGATATATTTGTTGAATTCTACAAACCGCGCTATTTGCTCCTTTCAGGGTTCAATATTTATCTAGATTATGCAAGACAAACTATATATTTTACAGACGTAGAATATCACACTCTTTCGTGAAACAACTAATAATTGATTTTTGCAATTAGTTTCATTCGCTTTTATTAATTGCAACTACCACAACCAACTATTATTTTGACACTTATTTCAATTGATGTGATAGGAAATATATGTCCTTTGATGATGTTCCTCTGTTTACAGATGACCATTCCAGGGTGATCCTTGACAGTCAGGACAAAGACTCTGACTATATCAACGCCAGCTACATTGACGTCTGTTTTTATGCATTTGTTATCATGAAATACAATAAAATATAATTAAACATGAGAATATGACAAAAACAGCATATATTTAAGTTGTCGTTATTGCTTTACAACTTTTTGACGTAAATGTATTTATGTAGCAGAAATAATGTTAATCTGCAAATAAATTTCAAATGTTGGTATGTCTTTTGAAATCATTGTAATGAACATTTATGTCATTTCCTACACCTTTTACCTATATACTCATGTACGTTTTACCGGTCATTTGTTGGGTAAAGATGACGGATTGAAGTTACCGAACCGTTACTTACACAAACAATTGTGATATATGCAACTCTTTTCATATAACAATGGATAAATGTGTTACATTTTAGAGTGTCACGCAACCTGCCGAGTACATAGCAACACAAGGTAAACAAATATTTTATCATTGAAATAAATATTTAATCTGTTCAACAACGTTTACATATATATCATATATCAATTACTATATGTATATCTAATATTAAAATAATCTTTGCCTACTTTGCCTTACCATTAGGTCCGACATATAAAACTATTGACGACTTTTGGCGAATGATCTGGCAACTCAAATCTGGAAAAATTGTTATGCTGACCAATCTTGAGGAAGGGACAAAGGTAAAATTGGAGCAATTAATATTGTGTTTAATTCTTAACTATGTATTATACTCACGCAAGTGTAAATACATATAGTGATAACATGATATGCTTTACTGAAACATTTGAAATCTTATTGATACCAATGTTAAACGAACGATAGTCGGCTGCTAACTTGTATAGTAGTGTCCATGATTCACTTAACATTTAATTGTAAAATACTTTCTTGAACTTTATTCCATTCATAGAAAAAATGTGAGAAATACTGGCCTGACGAGGGAGAACAGATGTCTACGGTACACTTCAGTATTACACTGAAAAAAGAAACAGGCTATGCTTTTTATGTTATCCGGGATATTATTGTTACAGAAAGAGAAGTAAGTTTGTATTTCTATTCTTCATTTATTTGCTGATTCAGAACTAAACAGATCAACTTCAATAAAATTAATGTATGCTAATATTCCCTCTTGATTGTTTTTGTTAATCGGTTCAAGAGGATATGTTATTTTCCAAATATCTATACTAGACAATTATTGTTATCAATAAAAGCAAAAAGAGATGTGTTTTATAAGCGTTGTTCGTCATTCCCCAATTTAATTAACGCTGATAACTGAATAATGTTATTTTTAGACTAAGTCTGTGCGACAAATTCACCAGTTCCACTATACTACGTGGCCTGACCACGGGACTCCGAACCCAAAAGAACTCGTCGTCTTCCACCGCAGAGTGAGAAATTACAAGACTTCCCTTAATGGGAAAATGGTGTTTCATTGCAGGTAAATTGGTGTGCATTAAAATGCTACACTAACATTTTGTTGCAATCTTTATAGTTAATAATGCAATGTATAACTGTCTTAAGGTAACCAGATTAAGATTTATATGAGGCATTCGTGATTAATAAAAGGTTAATCAATATGCCATGGGGTTGGACTGGTTAAATATGGTAACCAAACTCATTAGTCCCCTGCCACCGAAACAGTTGAGAAATTATAGTTTTACTCGCTGTCCATCCTTCCGGCTTCATGTTTTAAGGCATTTTCATCAAACTTCCATCACTAAGTATGCAAAGTATCAAAATATCTTGGACAGGTAAGAGTTTCAGGGTTGATAGGTCAAGTTCAAGGTCACTCTCGCTATTTTTAGAAAATCAGCGCTCTGGCTGTTTTATCCCTTCGGTGGTTCGCTTCAAATTTCCTTAAGGGATGTTGTTAAGCCCCAAAAAAATTTACAAATACTCTTAAAACATTATTGCACATTGGTGGTGAAACATCATTGTCAGATAGTCGTACGTGTTTATTACATTGTTACATTAAAATCAGTTATGAGAAATGCATTCTTTTTCAAATCAACAGTGCCATCTTTATAAATTATTATAATGCAATATCCAACGAGGCCTGTAGGGAACATGTATTGTTTAAGCAATACTCAAAATACTTGCAACTTTTTCTGCACCACATGTAAAGCAATTCTTACAAACGGTGCGAAGACACTGTCGTTTTTATTATGAAATCATATTATTACCGTTTCTGCTTACAGTTTTTTGTTTACAAATATAACAACTGTAAGCTCACAAAATGGTATTTATCAAAATGATTTGTTTATCACTTTCAGTGCTGGTATTGGAAGAACTGGAACGTTCATCGCTCTTGATGCTTTGTTTCATTACGGAAGAGAATTCGGAATTATTGACGTCATGGAGTACATTGTAACAATGAGGAAGGACAGGATCAACATGGTTCAAACAAGTGTACGTCGTTATGTTTTTCTAATCTCATCTTCGCTAAGATAGATCCTTGCATTGTTAAATTCGTTAAACATTTGCTAGTAAATGACCAATCCTCTTTAAACGTCCTTGATATAGAACATTAATTTTGATTTCCATTCATTGTAATAAGATATCTATCGGATAAAAAGCAACTTCGTCAAAACAAAACATTTATCGGTATTCGAATACCGTTGCTTTTATAGGATATAGTAAATAATACAAGAATACAAATTTGATTCTTGAATTATAGAAATAAAAACTTCATAGAAACATTGTTATCTACAGGACCAGTACATTGCCCTTCATCACATCCTGATAGAAGCTTTTGACATGCCGGATACGCTAATATCACGAATTAAGTATCATACATCCTTAGATAACCTGTCTGGCAACGGACCACGTAATCAAGCAAAGCTATGGCAGGAATATCAGGTAGATGTCTCTACGAAAGGGATATGAATTGGGTATCTAGTATGCATCGTTAGCTCGCATCGCTGTTTATGATGTTTATGATAAATCCTGAATCCTTTAACTTTCATAGGGCATCCTTTTTCAAGTGAGTTTCTTTCACCTTATCTACATCTACATGGTTTGATAGTGGACAAATAGTCTAGAAATTAGAAATAGAAATGTGAAAATGTACTCCATACACTAGCGATAGTTGTATTTCGCGGACATGTTTTTGATCGTTATACACGTGGTTTAAAAGCAAAAACAAATAACAAAAACTTAAAATTGTAGTTTGTAAATTACAAAAATAACGAGGTAATATCAGATTACAAGAAAAGGTCTCCAACTTGCAACTTCCTGTGCGAAAATGAAATGCCTGACTTACCAGTACTTATCAGCTAACATTTCATTATTTTTACATTTAAACGTCATCGTTCTCATAATAAAAAACAAGCTTGTATAATCAACCACAAATTCTAATATTTTGGCAATTTATAAATCAACCCCTCCGCAAGAAGGTATAACTTTTGTTTGTCTAGAAACTCAATTTTGAATGATATGTCGACATCAACATCTATATATACACTGCATGCCCATTTTAAAGAATTGTACATGACTTCTTCCTATGAGACATCTAGATTCATGCTATATTTTACCATTGTATTTTCATGGCGTAACCAAACAATAAATGAATTATTCTGTTCTCCATTTAAGTTGTTGCAAACCACGAGGCCAGTATATACCCAGGAGGACTATCAGACAGCACTTCTGGCTGTCAACAATGACAAGAATGTCGATCCTAACATATTACCAGGTAAAGTATCCAGGATGTTGTTACTGCATGAAAAACATGTGTTCTTGTATCTACTTAAAATGTGTGCTTGAATCTTGTTGACTAACTTTCTGTGCTCTTGATGTTTTTCAGTCGACAAATTCAGAGTCTACCTGATGTCATATGTCTCCGGCAGAACAGATTACATCAACGCTGTTGCAGTTCCTGTAAAATTTCTATAATTATTTCACACGTCAGTTAAACTATACAGGGTAGTGAACAGTGGCAATAACTACCATGGAAAATAACTGAAAACTATCATTTCAATGCGTCATAATAATCCTTACTTCAATGCATTTTGTGATCCACATAGAGGATAACCATACCTTCATTTTCTTTTTTTCTATTTTAATCTCACTTATTTCATATGATTGTAGGTGCTTGATCTATATATAATTCTGTATACATTCATCATAAACGATATATTTTCCATCAACCACTAAACGTACAATATTCTCTTTCCAGTCCTACACCTCCGGATCTGGTTTCATCATTACCCAAATTCCTTTAGAGGATACCGTTATTGATCTGTTAACCATGCTTATGGACAACCAGTGTGATACCATTGTCATCATTGGAAGGGACAGTCTCGTAAGTGGTCAACATAGTCCATCACTACAAACAAAGGATGCGTAAGACGCGGTTTATGCATATTAGTAGCATTATTGTTCTACATCTACTTTTTGGAGGGGCCAAAATTTCAATGGAAAGTGTAATCAATGAAGCCAGAGACGATTATTCTTTGGGAACACTTGGCCCGTCTTTGCTCTTAGCGCTTGTATTTAATAGTTTGCCGTTCGGAGACACCTGGCCCGCCTTTGCTTTTAGCGCTTGTATTTAATAGTTTGACCTACTTAATTTCGATAAGATTATGTCCACCTGTCAGTATATTCTTTGTTGCTTTATTTGACAACTATAACTTTTTAAGGGAGTCATGAATCGGTCTCTTTTTTCTCTAAACCTTCCTGTTTAAATATATCTGTTAAATGGCGATGATAAATTCCTCAATGATAACATCCTTTACAGTATACACAATTCCCTCGAAATTATCCTTTGTTCACTGTGATTTGCTTTCACTTGTATCGATATTCTTGATTTCCGTATGTATCAACTAATGAATTAAAAAACAATAATTCGATACACAGAAGTGGTTGCCGAAAGAGGGCATTGATGAAACCATTGGATCCTTCGTGTTGAAACATGCGGAAGGGGCTTCAAACCTACATAACGTCGATGTGCTAGATATTGGAGTCACAAATCACGTAAGATTCGAAAGTTTCTACTTTCATTGGTGAAAATGTGATATTAGTGCTACAAACTTCCAATATTTTTAATGTTAGTTTTCTTCAAAATTATTCCATAATTCCATTATTATGAAATACAAATTATAAAAGCTTAAAATTGATGGAGCAAACTACATGTATATACTAATTTAACTGAGAGTTGGCCTTTACCATTCATTCACGCAATTCGAATTACCAATTAATAAGATATTTCTGTGTTAAATTGCATCCAAAATTTCAGAGCAATCATTATGATGCCAATGTTCGGATTTTCTGTATGACTGGTTGGGAGGGAGACATCCCACTTCTGTCAGATTCCTCTACACTCCTTCAGCTTCTTGAGCGCATTGACAGTAGGCGGAAGTCGAATGACACCATGAGGACAGTAGTGATGTGCCGGTATGTATTGACCATCCTAGTAACTTGTGGTCGGCTATATTCGGACAAAAGTTAGAGTAAATGATGATATTGATAAAATCTAAATACAGCACAAACGATATACTTCAGTTTTACTTTTTACTTAATTAAACATAATACCAAATGTCGAATATGACAAGGAAACGAAAAAATCAAACCACTACGATCGTTGAAATGTAAACGAAAATATTAATATTCAATATTTACATGATCAGAGACGGTTATACCAAAAGCGGACTCTTTTGCTGTATTGGAAACGCACGGGACCAGATGAAAATGGACGATGAAGTCGACATTTATCAAGTCTCCCAACAACTGATTGTTAGACGACCGCAGTGCATCACAAATTTTGTAAGTAACAAAGATACCTATGTGATATTACTCATCGAATATATATGTATCATTGAACGATCTGGGTCAGTATAGTGTTTGTATTTAGTTTTTTTGTTTCGATATTTCACGAGTTTTTGTTAAGTCCAATGGCTCTGATGTTTTAGATGAATATACCGGCTATGTGTTAGAGTAGGTAAACATATTCAATACATACTATGTCTGTTCTGTTTCTTTACAGGAGCAATACCAATACTGTTACAACGTAATCAACGAATACCTTGACAACACAGACTTGTATATCAATTGACATATTAATTCCTTTCCTAATGGTACAAAACAACGACTACCTACACACTGTATACCTGTATCATGAACAGCAGATTTAGGAGTTGTGTCTACCATAACATCAATTTGTATTCGTTGGAAACAAAGAAAGACACAAGGAGTTCATAGTGACACGTTGTGGACAGAACAGAAACGCAATAGCCTATAAACAGAGGATTTTCAGTGCCATATAGTTATCAAAATGATATATTGTAAATATGTAAATTGTCTCGCATGCTTGTTACCCTTATATTTTAGAATATGAAACATTACAGAAAATATTAATGCATTTTTGAAATGATTCAATAAATAACTGATATGTTAACAGTATTGTACACATGATACTTGTTTATGTAATATGTGTATATTTTTTCAATGTCGTAGCGAACTGCACTACAAACCCCACTTTAAAAGGAAATAAATTACATTGTAGCATGCGATTCCATGATAGGAACATACCTGTAAGATTCGTTAAAATAAAATGCTGTAGAGATGTTATCTCACTTTGTGATGGAATGTTGATAATGACATTGAGTGTTTTTATTTAGTGCAGTTAATAACTTCAATAATGATTTCGAAAGTCTTATCAAAATAGAAAAAAATAAGTTTATATGACACCAGAGAAAGTCCACTTGGTTAATATGTACAGAAAATAAAGCAGTAGATATGATTTTTCAAGTTCTCAAGTTCAATATTTTATAGAATCTTATAAGCAAATTATGGGAGATTTTACATGTGGTATCCTTATTGTGGTCTGTAAATGAATGTTTGGTTAGTATGATCTATATAACAGTATTTGCATATCATAGTTTATATAATAGCCTTTGTAAACTATAGCTTGTACATAAGTGTTTGTATATCATAGTTTGTATAACAGTGTTTGTATACTACAGTTTGTATAACAGTGTTTGTATACTATAGTTTGTATAACAGTGTTTGTATACTATAGTTTGTATACTACAGTTTGTATAACAGTTTGTATACTACAGTTTGTATAACAGTTTGTATATAGTTTGTATAACAGTTTGTATTCTATAGTTTGTATAACAGTGTTTGTTTACTATAGTTTGTATAACAGAGTTTGTATACTATAGTTTGTATAACAGTTTGTATACTATAGTTTGTATAACAGTGTTTGTATTCTATAGTTTGTATAACAGTGTTTGTATACTATAGTTTGTATAACAGAGTTTGTATACTATAGTTTGTATAACAGTTTGTATACTATAGTTTGTATAACAGTGTTTGTATTCTATAGTTTGTATAACAGTGTTTGTATACTATAGCTTGTATAACAGTTTGTATACTATAGCTTGTATAACAGTGTTTGTATACTACAGTTTGTATAACAGTTTGTATACTATAGTTTGTATAACAGTGTTTGTATACTATAGTTTGTATAACAGTGTTTGTATACTATAGTTTGTATAACAGTGTTTGTATACTATAGTTTGTATAACAGTGTTTGTATACTATAGCTTGTATAACAGTTTGTATACTATAGTTTGTATAACAGTGTTTGTATTCTATAGTTTGTATAACAGTGTTTGTATACTATAGCTTGCATAACAGTGTTTGTATACTATAGTTTGTATAACAGTGTTTGTATACTATAGTTTGTAAATAGTATATATGTCTAAACACCATGAGCTGCTTGTTCTTGGCATAGAAAAAAAACCACAAAAACAATTTAATGAAATCGATCGTTTATTTATTCTTAAAAGACGTCAACATCACCCAGAGACTAATAATCCCATAGGTGACAAAGCAAGCAGCATAACCATCAAACAAAGTAATCAAGAATTCTATTTACCTAGTTGTCCCTTACCCAAAGACCAATAATCCGTAAAGCCTTAAATCATGTTAAGTGAATAATAAAATGTTGACCTGACAAAAACTGATATCCTTATGATATTCTCATAGTAACCTTAATGTCTTTGCCACGAAGGTCCGGTTCTACACCGCATATCACGAAGTTGTGTTTAGATCCGAACGATGAACTGCAAACATATAATACACGTTAAAATAATGATTAGCTAAATTTCTCGAGGAGGAGGGGAATGGTCGCGTGCCATTGAAGAGTGTTCGAACCAAGGGAGACATTCCCATCAAGCATTGGTCAATGTTGCACAATACTATATCTACACTACCAACCCTTTTCCCCTAAAACATTTTATAGAAAATAATATCTTATTTGTATATTAGAGTTTGCATATCTTGCAGTTGTGTAGGATTTATATAATGATAAACATTACATTGTTCTATATCTTATTTCTAAACTATATATTAATGTAGATATTGCACTACTATTACATGATTTCATTTCCCCTAAAATGATTGAATACACATTCCTGCTTAAAGAATATTTTTGTCTAGATTAAACCTTAATTGGAAGTAGTGCAATTCTTTCGTTGAGATTAAAAACGTGTTTATCATTTTACTACCGTTTTGCGATGACTAGTGGTGCAAATGGTTGCATATTTATCGACATATTTTTCATTATGTTTACATGTAATGATGATGATGATGATGATGATGATGATGATGATGATGATGATGATGTTGTACTGGTGTCATGATATACTAGTGTTACGATGTACTGGTGTCCCAATGATGATGAATATGATGGAGATGATGATGATGATGATGATGATGATGATGATGATGATGATGATGATGATGATGTAACGGTAATGATGTATTGATATCATGATAATGATGATGAGTATGACGTACAATGATGATGATGATCTATGTATACATTTTCAAAAATAAACATATACAAAAAAGACATAAACTGTAATGTGTAAATGCACCTTTACAGATTAACCTCCAGCGACAGTATCCGAGATCAGACAGGCAATAAAAAATTTAAATAGTCACCTGAAAATAAATTTCTCGTCATGACATATCAAACACAGAACTGGAAGCTCTAACAAGTTATCGTGACTTACAGATGGAGATGAAACAGCTTATTATACTTTGACGTTAACAACGAAATATTTTGTTTTACATATAACTGTTGTGTCAAAACTCTGTTGTAAAGGATAAATCCTTGTTAAGTCGGCACGCTACATATCTTACAAACTACTGACATGTTATCAGCATAAGGAAAGTGAAGTATACGGGTTTTCATTTTAAATTTTCACTTACAAAAATGGAATGTCAACAAACGGAAAAAATTGATTGACAGACTTGATCCGTCTGACAATTGTGTAAAAAATTTCCATATTATATATACCGGATTTCGTTGATCCTCTCCTACTACCTGACTATATGTTATTTATTAACATACATGTCATCAAATCACAAAAACATTTTTATAAAATGATCCTTGATCAGCAAGGTTTACTAATTATGAGTTATATTGGGTATGAAAATGTCAATGTCGGGTATTGTCACCACGTTGATACAATCCCTGTTTCCGTCATCTCACAACTGGAAGCCAAAACATGTTGTCTGTCTCTGCAATATCAGCGTAGCCAACAATTCTCCAACTATTTGGCATTTTGGATCCCATGAAGTAACCTCTTTTTTGTCCAAACTTGTCCCATAACTGCTCATTAGAGTTCATATCAGGTGATATTGCAGGTCAGGGAGCATTTTTATCACTTCTTGCTGAAGATGGTCATGCACAAGGAGAGGCCGATCTGCAAATTGATGGGAATTAAAACGCGAAACAAGATGGAAGGATCTGATCACGGTCCTTCTGTCCACAGTTCCATCAATGATATGCAAGCGAAGCATACATATTATAGAAAAGCATCCCCAAACAGAGACACTGCCATCACCAAATGCTGGTATATTATGTCATTTGTCGGACTAACTAAAATTCGGCTTTCATCAAACAGAGCTTCGCCAAGACCTAATATTCCATGTCTGGTGATCAAGTGTTGAGTGTGGTCTTGCTTGTTAATAACTTCCAGTCAACAGAGGACGTTTTACTGGTTGGCGGGAGAGGGGCGCCCATCGTTCAAACGTCTGTCGACAATACCCCTGTTAAGTGAACATTGACGTTCAACCGTCCTAATAACAGCGTTGAATTGGACTCACCTTGCATATCTACACATAAATCTATTCTCACTATTGATGGTATTTCGATATCTACCAGACCTGGCAGGCTTTTGACTCGGCTGCCTTATTAATGTCACAATGTTCCATGGTCTCCTTTTCCGATAGCAGCCTATAAATTTGATTCTATGGAGTAGCATAGCTTTCCGTCTTCAACAATACAGACATTTTCTTAAATTATGATGTAGAATTGTGCTATCCGGTTTGACCTCACATGCTGTGTCATGTTTATGTAACTACCACGTGAGTTTTTTTTTATGTGGTTCTTATCGTGTTTTACTTAACCGGCTAGGCAATATATCACTTACACGATACGGGTATTGGTGATATTGACGATACGGATGCACACTGTTAGATGTGGATTTGAACTGTTTCTTTTACAACTAATATAATCAGTTTTACAGTGGAAAGATGAAAAAGAGCAAGCTAGGTGTTATACTGTTACAGACAATCTTCGGTAAGTGTCATTATAATGTATTTCAATGTTGACATCAATCGATCAGTACAAATGTTCAATGACAGCAGGGTGGTTTATTTGACCTACCACGCGGCTTTATTTTTACCTGCAATCTGTTTTGTCTTACATAACAAATATTTTGTATATAAACAATCTCATAATTTATAATATTAGGTTTTACGTATTTTCGTAGGAAAGCATATTTGGTACAACTTTTTATAAATATAACTTCCGTGTTGATATACAGTGCAGGTAGAGATAACACACGCACTGGTTCACGATACCCCTCATAATCACAACTGATAAATGAAATCTGTCTACCTGGATAACCTTAAACTCTTGCAAAGATAAATCAATTGTTTTACTCGATCAATGTCGACCTAACGATAATCAGAGCTGGTTTAAATTCTTCATGCAATCTTTCTACTTACAGATATAAAATAAACATAGATACA